CCTGCCCAGCTGGTGATCCAAGCTGGGAGTTGCCACAACTAAATAAGGCAAAGTCAGTGTCCCAAGTGGAGGGGGCTGCTTTCAGCGATGGAGTGTCAAGGGGGGGGGGGGGGGGGCCGGTGGTGGTGTTGGGCAATGTGTTCAAAGATGCATCTTGGACCCAGTGCGGGCACTGTGGGCATTAGTGGGGCTGACCTAGGCCTGCCTGGGCTCCGAGGGTGTTGGTGGAGCTGACCTGGGCCTCCCTAGCTCCATGGGTGTCCTTGATGTGTTTTTGAATGTGGTTTACTAATATCTTATTAAGGAATTTTGCATCTATGTTCATCAGGGGTATTGATTTGTAGTTTTCTTTCCTTCATGAGTCTTTGTCTGGTTTTGGTATCAGGGTTATATTGGTTTCATAGAATGTATTTGGGAGTATTCCCTCCCCTTCAATTTCATGGAATAATATGAGAAAGACTGGTTATTTCTTCAGTAGAGTTCTGGTAGAAAAGTTTTGGAAGACTTTGAATTGCTATTTCAATTTTATTACTTGACATTGATCTGTTTAGGTTTTCTACATATTTCTGATTAAATTTGGGCATCATATGTGTCTAGAAATTTGTCAATGTCTTCCAGATTTTCCAATTTATTGGAGTAATAAATTAATATTGGAGTATTGATTTTCAAAACAGGTTTTGATAATCCTCTGTATTTCAGAAGTATGGTATCTCCTTTCTCATCTCTGATTTTGTTGATTTGGGTTTTCTCATTTCTTTTGGTTAATCTTATTTTTTTTTAAAGAGAGAGAATTTTTAATATTTATTTTTTAGTTTTCAGTGGACACATCATCTTTTTTTTATTTTTATGTGGTGCTGAGGATCAAACCCAGTGCCCCATGCATGCCAGGGGAGCACACTACTGCTTGAGGTACATCTCCAGCCCATCTTATTTTTTTTTTCAAAGAACCAGCTCATCGTTGCATTGATCCTGTATATTGTTTCCTTATTCTCAATTTCATCTCTGATCTTAATTAGTTCTTCTCTTCTACTGATTATAGAATTAGTTTGTTCTTCTTTTTCTAAGGCCTAGGGATAGATTTTGGTATGCTGTATCTCTGTTCTTATTCTTTTCTGAGGATTTCTTGACTTCTCATTTCTTTGATCCATTCTTCGTGTAAGAAAGTGTTCAATCTCCATGTGTTTATGTGGTTTCTATTAATTTTCTTACTATTGATTTCTAGTATTCAATTATGGTCTGATAGGATACATGAGATTACATCATTTTTAAAATATTTGCTAAAATTTGCTTTGTGGCCTAGAATATAGTCTACTTTGTAAAACGTTTTATGTGCTACTGAGAAGAAGGTAAATTAAGCTGTTTTGGGGTAAAATATTTTGTAAATGTCTGTTAGGTCCATTTGATTTGTAGAATTATTTAGGTCAGAGATATTTTTAAGTTTAAGGATCTTTCTATTGGTGATTAGGGTATGTTGAAATCACCCAGTATTGTTGTGTTGGAGTCTGTCTGGGATTTAAGGGCATAGAGGGTTTTTTTAAACAAAAGGATGTATGTAGGTATGTATGTAAATATTGTTGTATCTTCTTGTTGGATTGTTTCTTTTACCAGAATGTAGTAACCTTCTTTATGTCTTATGATTGTTTTCTTTTTTGGTACCAGGAATTATTGAACTCAGGAGGCACTAAACCACTGAGCCACATCCCCTGTCCTTTTTATATTTTATATTTTGTTTTATATTTTGTCTTGCTAAGTTGCTGAGGCTGGCTTTGAACTCACGATCCTCCTGCCTCAGCCTCCCAAGTGGCTGGGATTACAGGTATGCCCCACTGTGCCTGGCTCTTCTGATTAATTTTGCTTGAAATCTACTTTGTCAGATATTAGAATAGCTGCTACTACTTGTTTTCGGGATCCTTATCCATGGAATTTTCCCCCTATCCTTTTACCTTTAGCTTGTGGGTATCTTTGTCGTTTCCTGCCATTTTGAGTTTTTATTTTATTTAATCCTGTCTTCTCATTTAGTAAATTATTCTTCTATCAAACTTCCTTTTGGGGAGCTTTGGAAATTGTTCCTCTGTGTGCAGTTTACCTTTGACTGTTCTTTGTAGTGCTGGTTTGGTGCTCATGAGCCCTTTTAGTTTATTCTTGTCATGAAAAGTTTTTATTTCCCCCTTCAATTTGAATCTGAACTTTGCTGGGTAAAGTAAAATTGACTGGCAGTTGCTTTCTTTTAGAGCTTGAAATATCATATTTAAGGTCCTCGTTGATTTTACCGAGAAATCAGAAATGAGATTTTTGGTTTGCCTCTAAATGTGACCTTAGGTTTCTATCCTGCAGTTTTAAAAATTCTTTACTTTCTGTTAGGCATTTTATGATATGTCTTGGAAATCTTCTTATTTAAATAGTTCTATTTGGAGTCCTGTAGATTCCTATATGTGGATTTCTACCTCATTTCTGGTATACAAAAAGTTTTCTATAACTATGTCATTTAAAATGTTCTTTATGCTTTTAGCTTGCATCTTCACGTTTGTTTCTATCCCAAATGATTCTTAGGTTTGGTCTTTTAATGTTCCAGTGTTCTTGTATATTCTGATCATGTTCCATAACTTTTCTGCTTTATTATATTCTTTTATTTGTTTTAGTTATACATGACAGAATGTATTCTGGCACATCATGTATGTATAACTTTCCCCTTTATTATATCCTGTGTACTCAAGATTACATATTCTGTCTTCAAAGCATGTAAAATATCCTACACTGTAATTTTTGTAAGACTGTAGAAGTTAGGTGTTCTAACCATGTCCAAATAGAAACTATGTAAGGATGGAGGTGTTCAGTTTATACAAAAACAAATCATCACATGACATGTCTTAAATGTACAATTTCTATTTGTCAATTTGTCAGTAAAATTCAAGAGGGTTTTAGTGCCCTTGGCTGACTCCCACCAGTCTTCTTTCTAGCTGCTTTTGAGGAAATTTTGTCACCTGATCCTGATTGTGGGTCAAATCCTGAAAGTTGGCTAAATCCTGACACTAGAGTTATTTTTGCCTCTGCTTCTAAGGAAACTTCCATTTGTTCAGAGTGCCATGGAAATGCACCAGAGGGCACACAGTGTGGAACTTTTTAGAGCAGCTCTGTCCAATAGGACTTTCTGAGATGATGGGAATGTTTCATCTATCCTAATAAGGCAGCCACTAGTACCATGCTTGCTGGCCATTTGAAAAATGGCAATGTGATTCAATAACAAGATCTTTCATTTAACTTTTAACTTTAGTAGCAACATGTGATTGGTGGCTGACAGTGGAGCACAGCACCGTTCTGTAGCTTTTGGAGCATGGCCTTATGGTGTATTTGTGCCTTCTTTCTATTCAATGCCTATACATGTGGCAGAATTTGGTTTGGGCCTTGCTTTCAGGGCAATGCTAGGTGATGAGGTTGTTGGAAGGGAAACCTAGAGTTCTCATCTTTTGGCTTTGCTGACAAACCTTTTTGGACCCAGGATGCAAAAACAGGCTAGCTCTCTAGAGCAGCAGCAAACAACTCCAGAGAGCCTCTGGGTTCTGGAGGCACATCTGGGTTTTCTCAATTGTACAACTGAATATTAGAAAGAAAATTCACAATTCAAGAGCGTTGTCATGAAAATAAATGATCAAACACAGAAAAGCATGTAGTAGAGTGTGTGGCATTTGGTACAGGTTTGGTAACATTGAACTGTGCCTACACCAAAATGCTTTATTTCACCCCCATCCCTCCCCTCAATTAACCACTCAGGCTCCAATAAGCTCCTATTTGAGAACCAACATATAAACAGGGCATAGGAAACTGCACCTACCAATCCCCACCTCCAACCCCATATAAATACTACAAATATCGCTGCTAAGAATTTGTTTGTAAGGAGTTTCTTGTCCCAATAATCCTGATAAAGCAAAAGTAGTAATGGGAATAAGGTGACTTCCCTTTTTGAAAAACATTACTATGGGGCTGCGGTTGTGGTTCAGTATAGAGTGCTTGCCTAGTATGTGTGAGGCACTGGGTTCGATTCTCAGCACCACATAAAAATAAAGGTATGATATCCATGTACTACTAAAGAAAAACAAAAAACCCCATCACTGTTAGTCCATTTACATTGCCCCCCCCCGCCCCCCACTGTGTGTTTTTATTGGATAAAACATAAAACTGACCACCTTGCTGGGGGCAGTGGGGCATGCCTGTAATTCCAGTGCCTTGAGAGGGGGAGGCAGGAGGACCGTGAGTTCAAAGCCAGCCTCAACAACTTAGCAAGGCCCTAAGCAACTTTGCAAGACTCAGAACCTGTCTCAAAAAATAAAAAGGGCTGGGGATGTGGCTCAGTGGTTAAGTGCCCTGGGTTTGATCCGTGGTACTCGCTCCCCAAATTGACCATCTTACCCATTTTTAAATGCACAATTCAGATGTATTAAGGAAATTCATTACTTACAGGTTATGTCCCTAAAGGTAATACAATATATTAATATGAAATACCCTTAATATCTATATAAAGGAAATACCAAATTGAGAATAATGCTCACGGGAAGTGGGAAATGAAGGGACCAGCAAAGCAGGGAAAGTGAGGGCCTAAGTTTGTAACATTTCTTCTTTAAAAAAGAATGAATCAAATATGACAAAATGTTAAGGCCTGACCAAACCAAGTTTTAAGTACACGAGTATTGACTAAAATACCTTGTAACCCAAATATTCATGAAAATAGCATTGATTAGATCACAAAATACAAAGTACAGCTTAAGACACATGGGTCCTCTCCAGGTTGAACATCCCCCCAGGAGATTAAAAAGAGTAAAATTTTCTTTGCCTTCTCTCTATGAATGCTAGTCATAGGTTTTTTTGGAGAATTGACTTTATTTTTGTTGTTTTGTTTTTTTTTAAATCTCCCAAGTTAATTTATTATTCAAGCAGGATTGAAAATCACTGACGTCAGTCTTAAAAAATGATGAGAATGATATAAATCTAGAAAATTGTCCACAGTATATGGTTAAGTTTTTTTTTTTTAATGCAGGTCATAAGGCATTTATGGATAAAAAGATCCTGTTGTGTGAAATATTTTAAATATGCAATAGAAACTCTGAAAGGATAATTAGCAAACCTGAGGTGGTAAGCAGGGTGGTGGAGGAGAGACTGCTAAAGACTTTACTTTCTTTACAGAATTTTTACACCAAGAACATAACTTTAAAAAAATTAAATGAGTACATATATAAATATACCACAATCTCACCACCATGTATATCCACAAAACTGGGATCCTAAGTAGAATAAGATATATTCCAAGCTTGTGTATCAAAATGGATCCTACTATCATGTATAACTAAAAGAGTAAAAATTTTAAAAAGTTAAACTATGTAGTATTTTTAAAAACAGGAAAAGCAACACCTTTTTGGTTCTTTTTAGGTATACATAACAGTAGAGTATATTTTGACATATTTCTGCAAACACAGAATATATCTTATTGTAATTGGGATCCCAGTCTTGTGATACCGCTTTTATTTTCACATCACAAAAAGTACAGTAAGTCTTTGATTTATAACTTTCAGCTGTTTATAACATAAATGCTTACAATTTGTACTAGGTTCTCTGAAATTTTTATAATCTTATATTTTAGTATACAACATATTTCACAAGTCTTATCTCCTTGAATTAGTTGAAGTCATCCCCATTTTACAGGTAACAAATTAAGGAAACAAATTAAGAGTTAAGGCACTTGACTCTTATGAAAATGGAGACTCAAAACTCAAATCTGTTCCCAGTTGGATATTTTTTTGCTCTGCCATACCACCTACTTGATACTCTTGATAGCCTTCCTGAGGACAGGGGTCACTATTCACCAAGGAAATATTAACTAGCTGAATACGCTAAACTTTCAGAGACAAAGTAGGAATAATTATTGCGTAACTTCAAGAGATGCTTCCTGGGCTATTCATGCCCAGTTTACTAATGACTGATTACTTGGTTTCTTGAGAAGGAATGTCCAAGGCATTTATTTCTGCACTTGTATTTATTTTTTTTAAAATCTGAAAGCAGATTAGGGTTTTCTTTTAATGAACATATAATAATTATACATATTTATGGGGTATAGTGTGATGTTTTCATACATGTATACATTGTGTAATGAACAAATCAGGGTAATTAACTTATCTATCACTTCAAACATCATTTCTTTGTGGTGAGAACATGCATAATGCTCTCTAGTATTTTAAAATATGCATTATATTTTAATTATAGCTTACTATGCGATAAAACATTGGAACTTATTTCTCTTATCAAACTGTAATTTTGTACCCATTGATCAATCTCTCCCCATCTGTCTTGGCCTCTCCAATCTTTCCCAGACTCTGGTAACCACTATTCTACTTTGTAATTCTATGAGATTGGCTGTTTTAGATTTTATCTATGGGTGGGGTCATGTGATGTTTGTCTTTTTATGCCTGGCTTATTTCACTCATTGTCCTCCAAGTTCATTCATGTTAATTTACCATAACTGGCATCCTTCTTTCATGGATGAATAATATTAGATTGTGTATATTTACCACATCTTCATTATTCATCTGTTAATGGACACTTAGTTGACTCCATATCTTGGCTGCATATTTTTATTATTGAAGTTTGGAAGTGCAACATCCCAACTGCAGCATGTTTCATACCCTCTCCATCCCATCTGCAACAAATGCCGTATGCTTTATTTTCTATGCAGGACAAAGAACAGGGCCTACGTGTAACTAGCATTTAGTAATTACTTGTGAACAAAACCGATGGTCTATTTACATTTGGAAGCATCTTTTTTGGAGGGGGGGAGCAATATATATACTCAAATTGCAGAAGCTGAGCTGTGCTTTAGAGACTTTGCTAAGAGAAATAAGAAATTGATTTTTCTACCAACACTCCAACTTCTTTTCAATTTTTTTTTGTAGTTGTAGATGGACAGCATGCCTTTATTTATTTCATTTTTATGTGGTGCTCAGGATTGAACCCAGTGCCTCACACACACTAGGCAAGTGCTCTGCCAGTGCAACTAAGCTACAACCCCAGCCTCTCCCAACTTCTTTAAAAATTTTAATAGGTAATACTTGTGTACATTAATGGTCTCTCTATTGTGATATTAGACACCAATTCACACTAATTTCCAATGTAGGACTACTACAAGGCTGCCTCTGTGTTCTTCCTTATTTCGGCTTCCTCAAAGAAGGGGACCACAGTGATGAATCAACATTTTAAGGAGGGAAAACAAAGGTGAGGAGGCCATATACCTTTTCTGAAGCAAGAGGGCGTCATAGGGATTAGGAAAGTGCCCTTCCTCCTTCTCATTTAGGACTTCCTGGAATGATAAAGCTTAAGAGAAGGGATTCTGGGCTGGCATTGCCTAATGTTGCCAGGATTATTCGAATTTAACACCAGGCTCAGTGGACAGAAAATAGGAGCCAGCTCTTCATGCTCAACCTAGACTGAAGTTAAATGATGCACCCCTATGTTCTCTGTGAATCCTGTGTACTGGGCTTGATAAAGATTCAAAGAGTAGATATGTCTTACTGTACTATAAACATTTTGGTTTGTCTTCATTTTATGTAATGAATAGCAGTCTTACAAGATAGGTGTATCATCTTTAGCTTCTGGATGGGAAAATCAGGAAGGATTACAGTTCCAGAAGAAATCAATGTACTCTCTAAAAGTTTAACTGAGGAAAAAAAAGATATTTTCAGCATAGGGGCAAGGCATAGGGGACTAAAAAAGCACCTGGGGAACTGATAGTGGCTTAAAAATGGGAGGGAGTTGGATTCCAGAGGAAGGTTGGACAGGAGCTATCTGTATCCTAGAGTATCAAATCAGAGACAGTGGGGTAATAAATTCCAAACCTCCCCGCTCTCTGAACTTGGACTCTCCCATGTATACTCCTGATATCAGTTTAGGAGTTAAAAAAATATGTACAACAGAAAATTCTGAGTGCCCTGTGACAGGTTTCAGTCACATAAATCACAACAAAAAAATGTTATTTCTTACTTTGGATAACACCCCATTAAAATACATTGCTGGATATGTTACCCTCATATGACTTCATGCAACCTCACAAGAAGTGCCCTTGATTCCAAAATATAGAAAGGGCCAAACCCATGGGAAGACTCAAAAACAGCAAACATTTTCAGAATTTGGATAGTTGCAATTTAGCCCACCTTTTGCCAAGAACTACATGTTGTGAACAAGACTTTCATCAGTAGGAGGAGCAGCAACAGCAGGAAGTGGCCAGGAAGTGGCAGGTACATCTTTGTGGTCTCAGCAATTCCAATAACTTAGAATCAAGGAATTTTCTTTATATAACTATAGGAAAGAGTTGTGGCTTTGTAACTGTACAGACCTTGCTTTTTTTGTTATGAGCCACCTAATAGCTTTATGACCTTGGGGGCTTTTTTTTTTTTTTTTTTTTTTTTTTTGCAAAATCTATTTGATTTGTGAAACAGAAATAAATGCCTCTTGGAATCATGGAGGCTTTATGTAACTAGAGATAATATATGTAAAGCATCTGGCCTGCAGTATGAGTTCTATGAGTAACGGTGATTCCTCTTTGTACTGCTGAATCTAACATAGGCTTTTAAGCAAAAGAGGTTATTTTATGTGTATGCACATTCCTTACTGAAAATTGTAATATTATTATAACAAGAAATTGTTTTATGGGTGATTTTGTAAATCATGGGTAAAGTTAACACTCTCAATTAAATCCCACCAAAATTCTACTGTGCAGAGAAAGCTGCTAGCAACGACCAAGAGTAAGGAAAAGAGCAGAGTAAAGTTCTGCTTGGGTATCCTGTATTGAAACTGGTGTTAGAAATGTAAGACCACCAGCTCTGTGGTCTTCCCCACCACTCCACCCTACCCACTGGCCACCAACAGCAGTAAAAATATATTTTTATACTTTTGAGTATTAGACTTTTATTTTAAACAAATACACTTTATTTTGCAAATCAAACTTTATGCATAACCTTATTATGCTTTCCAATTATTACTGAATAAATGAATAAAGATTAAACCTAATTATAAAATTTCCTAAAATTCAGCCAGGGTTTTTCTTCTTTTTCTTTTTTTTTGTTCCATAATTACGAAACCAATAATTGTCAAACTAACTTTGACCCAGGTAATCATTTTCAATCAATGGGATAAGGGAAGAGGGGGGAAAAAAAACCCATGTAGGAATGATGTATGTAAATGAGCTTGCTTATAAGAATATCTTTTTTTTTCTTTTTATGATACAGGCCAGTCACAGCACACATCCAGTTCAGAGGATGCTAATAAAAACTTTGCCCACCTCTCTCAGCCCATCTTGCTTACTCAGGCAGTTTCCAAGCAGTTCTTTCATGGAGACACAATCTTCGGTTTCCAGGACAAACTGTTCCACAGCCTTGCGTCCTGGCAGATGGCTCCTTACAGTCTTATTTTTGATACTGTCCAAGACGACTCCCCTGATGTCTTTAGGTTTTCCCGGCACACCAAAGATGATGAACAAGCCCAGACAATCCTCTCCTATCAAGTTACAGAATTCTTCCAGCTTATCAAATCTACTTCTCTTCCAGGAAGACTCCTCTATCCTCGACTCCGGACTGGGGAAGTCACAAGGTTTTGACTGCACAGGAGGAAGAGAAGCCATCTGTAGAGTCTGAACCGCCAGCTGAAGCCTTATTTGCTTATCAGATCCCCAAAAAGTCCAAACCCAGTCTGCTCCAAATAGTAAGGCTTGGTGCTTGGTCATCTTGGTGGTGGTGAGCCACTCATCAACTCCCTTTTCTTGGCAGAAAGTGATGAAGTGGATTAAGAAGATCTCATTCAGAGTATTTGCAGCTGGGCAGAGTTTGCTCTGTGGATACTCAAATCCAAGATACTCCTTGAGCTTCTGAGCTGCATGGACTATGGCTTCACTGACCACCTCACAGATGCTGAGAATCTCAGTGCTGTCCTTCAGAGCCAACTGCTGTGATGCTTTTTGCCCCATTTTCTCTGCACCCAATCAATACTGCTCCCAAACATCAAGCATGTGAATGTCATTCAGAATTGCTTCTTTTTCAGAGGAAAAGTTCTGCAATGAAGTCACATCTGTTAATATGATCACAGTTTCCTAGCACTATACTTCCTTGGTATAGCTAAGCATATAGACACACTGCTAAGCAAACATGTGAGGGCTCCCTGTTTGTCAAGTAGGTGTGCTGTATTCATATAGATTCCTGCTGGTTTATTAAGTTACACGTTTTCAATTTCACACAAAACATCTGTTCTTCTCTGTGTTATGTTTACTCTACTTTTAATCTTTGGTAATTTCTTCCTAGATATTCCCTCTTCCAAAATTTTAGTTAAAGATAGTATGTTCTTCAAAGGTGTATGGGTCATTATTCATACACCTTTTTCTATAACTGGCTTCAAATCTGTAGGAGAGTCATTGCTGTTTACTTTTCCTATATCCTTTCTGTCATGATTCCTCATTCCCCCACTCAGTTGATTATATTCCTTTCATATAATCTTTCTCAAAGACCTCAAATTTTTCTCCAATGATACACGTTAGGCACTCCACTTAAACAAATTTATGGATGTTTACCAATGAGAAAGAGTTTGTTACTATTTTCGATACCAGAAACCAAGCCCATCTGTTATTTTGAACCAGGTAAAAATTAAACAATGATAATAAAGGCATTAGGCAATTAAGTATTGTGTATAATATTTTGCAAATAAAATATATCATTGAAAAAATTTTAATCTTATCAAATATTATGTTATATTGTTCTAATAAAGAAAATTTGGCATTTTTTAACAGTCTTCTGGTATTTTCAACCAGTTTCTAATAACAAATAGAGTTTTTCAAATGGTGACATATATTCATATTAAAATAAAATCCAAATACAGGAAGAGTCCAATATAGTTACCAAGTAATGAATGATAAAAAGTTCAAAGGAAATCCCATAGCATCAAATCCTTTCATTTATGAATAAATAGTAATCTATGTTATAAGTTCCTTGATGAATAGCTTGGTAACTTGCTGACAATATAAAATATAACACCACTGATATTCAAATAGAGTTTATAAACAAGTTCACTCACATTGACTGAACTGCCCACCTCATTCCATCTTGTGAACACCCATCCTTTCCACAGTTGACCATCATAAGCATATGTAGCACTGAATGAAAAATAGATTTTTTTCTAATACCCCATAAAAAACACGAATAGTACAGTTTTTGCTGCAACTATTTTTTTTAAATAAAGAAAATTTGAGTTTTGTGTTATAGAAAAACAGGAACTACATTTTATGTAAGGAAATAGCCATTATATAATTAGTTTTGCAGCCTCAGAATTTTTGAATCTGATTGAAATGAAATGAAGCTCCATTTATTGATGGCCTGAGAAACATACCATTATCTAGGTAGACTGTTAGTACTTTGATGTAATGATGTATGTAACAAAGAAGAAAATAAAAAACACTATAAAGTTTTTGTTTTATTTTTGATTTCTTTAGAAATTACCTCTACCAATTTTGAGAGGGGTCTGTGTGAATGTTTATGAATATATTCAAGTTAATGGTATATTAATGTCCCTTGAGTTCTTCCTTGTAAGGTAAATGGATCCAAGATTAAAATCAAAATAGATTGCTCTACAATTCTGTGGTGCCATTAAAAAAGGCTATTTCATGTATGTTAATTTAGCCTGAAAGATAAACTTTGTTAAAAAGTTCAGCTGTGAAGAAAGAAAAATCTCTTAAGGACCATCTGGAACATGAAAATTTAGATCACTATGTTTTGTTTTTATCTGATTTTGTTTTTATTTTCAATGTGATCTTGCCATTATCTTCCTTATGTCACAAAATAAAAGTTCTATTTTCTATGTACTATATATATATATATATATACATATATTTAGAAAAATATATAAAAATAAGATAAGAGGCAAGTGGAGGTGTAGCTGGCATTCAGTGGGCACACAAAATTCCATACACTGCCTCTGAGCACAGAGTGTCCTGCTTAGATGGCTGCAGTGAGCAATGATGTGTCAAAGTCATTCACACCCTGGTTACTGCTCCCCCAATCCTCCATGCTGGGATGTGAATGGAAACATAAAATACTCATCTTAAGTGCAACACTTTAAATACAATACATCATGGATTTTTACATTAAATAGAGGAACAAAAATTATACTCTCATTCACCAGTGTCTCATTTTTTGTGGCAAATTCTGAATAGGCACAATTCTCCTGTTGTCCATTTCCACTTCTAAATAAGAAAAAGTTGGAATGATAAACAATATACAGTCTGTTGCTTATAGTACACAATGTAAGTATTTAAAAAATAAAGTGGAAAAAAGACAAAGGGCTCCTACTGCTCATCCAGGTCAAACGTTTGAATCTTCGTCTGTAATGCTGGCACTGGGAGAGCGGGCAGCAAAATCTTTAAACATGTCATCTTCCTTCAACATGTGCTGAAAAACAAGCAGACAGGGATTCACACTCTTGAGTTCTGAGCTCAGAACTACACATTCTCCAGTATACATGCAATCCTTGGGGTTATTTTAGGTTTCAATTCATTTTTCAAACTTACTGTGAGATTGTTGATGCCTTCAGAGAATGCCCCTATTTGTCTCACTGTCCCTTCCGAATCTTCCATCTGTGGACAAATCATGACATGACATACTCATTTTCATAATTTCAAGGAAACAGCAGAAATATGAATAAAAGTAGAAGAAAAATTGCAGAAATAACACAAATAGTATGGAATGGGTAGAAGCAACATAACATTTTTGATGATAATCTCTTTTCATTATTAGAAGGAACACTGGACTAGAACATCTAGTCTGATGACTCTGACAATGGCACCAAAGGACTACTGATTAGAGGGCAAACATGCAGTGTGTAGCTTGAATCTGAAAAGCCTAGGTCGTAGGACCTGTCCAATCCTGACTTGTTCTAGTGCACAGATTTCCTTCACACAGAAACATACAACACAGGTAAATTGTACAGGCTTTGGATCTAGCCTGGTAGGCTAGAGACCTTGAGCTGGTTACTTAGCTGTCTGTGCTTTAGCTTTCTTATGTCTAAAATGTGGATTACAATATTCTATGTCTTAAGATTACCAAGAATATTAATATGTTCAGTGTTTTGGATAGAATCAGCAAAGTAATAAGCAATCTCTAAGTACTCATTGTTATTTTATTATATTTTTTAGGCATTTAAAGAAAACATCCTTGATTAGTAGTTAACAGTGTAGATTCCATTTAGCATCTGAGTGCTGGGTGCACCTACCTGCTCTAACCGATCTAAGTCGTCTTCATCATATAGGTGCATATCCAAACCAGGTTTAAACCCCTTCTTAGTGGCACTTCCTGATACCTGTCCCAATTCCATTGGACAAACATATTCTTCTCCATCTTCCTGTTTCTTTTTTCTCAGATTCCCAAAATTGCTGAAGGTAAGTTTCTTTGGCTTTAAAAGCAAACAAAATGCCCGAGGAATTTGATAAAGTTCATATGTCAAAGAACGAATAATGTATTATTTAATTATTCACCCCTTCTCATGGAGAAAAGCAACTGGATGATTGAATTTGCATAGCAAATACATCCTAGGCATATGAGTAATACATCAATATCATAAATAATCCTTGTTATGAAGCCTAAGATTAATCTTATTCATACCATGAGCTGGACAATCACTGTGATAAAATTTGTCAAAAACCTTTATGTTTTTAAGCAGGATTAGTGCAATGATGGAATTTCTCAGGGATAAAACCAATTTTGCGAAGATTTTCAATCTAAGAGCACCAAACAAACAAACAAACAAAGATCCTTACTATAATTTCTTTTTGGGTAAAGCTTTCATTATTTTATATGCCTGTTCTGCTGCCATATCAGGATAGTGACTGGTAAAATAATTCCCACTCTTTGGCAATACATTGATTATAGAAGCCAACCAACATCATGCTCTTTATCTTTGTTAATGCTAATAAAAAAAATAATTTACACAGAAATCTTTAAGAATGCATTATCTAAATTACTCTTAAAGATATAAACATAGACACACATGTGTGTATGTATACACACACACACACATACACACATATACCTTTAAGATATATATCTCATCAACCCACAGAAGTTAGTAAACCCCAGAAAACAGAGTAACCGGGTAACAGCTGAAACTGAGTCTTTGCTTCAGGTGAGTTGAGCTAACCTTCACTTTGGCAGTAGCTGTTAAAAGTACATAATCTGGTAACTCCATGGCATCTCGCTTCTGATGTTGGGCCTCAGCACCGATTAGGAGATTAAAATGAGTGGCCAAATGTCTTCGCAACAGTGTCTTATTTGGTGGAATATTTAATAACTGCGCCATTGTTTCTACATTAAAACGAGGTTCTAGAACCTGTAGATTAATTAAGAAAAATTTAAAAAAAATTTTAAGAAAAATTAAGATTATTAAAAAGTACGATAGTTATTACGTTTTGTATTGTACTTTACAATTTGCAAAGATCTTTCATTTGGGTTATCTCCAATGACCCTTCTACAGTACAGAGAGGTAGACAGGCTATGGACTTTGATTTTTAATTTATGTATTTTTTCTTTATTTTTCCTGAGTTAGGAAATGGTGGGGCTGGTCCTATAATCCAGGCTTCAGGCCTTATTAACCACACCAGCGCTTGTACCTCTCTGGAGTGCTGACTCTGAAAGCTAACTCCTTATGCAACATGTATGTGCAGAGATATAATCTATTTTTTTTGCAAGTGTTTTAAATCATGATCATATGAAAGATAGGTATTCAACATAAAAGAAAACAGTACAAGAAGAATGAATTTCAATCGGATCTAGATTTTTATAATATAAATAAAAACACCCTGAGAGTAAAACTCACTAGAAATAGTACAGGAGTGTTGGGAAAGATGACTTTAGGATTAGAACAAGTAAACTAATAAAGGTTATTCTTTATCCAAAATGCTTAGGACCAGAAGTGTTTTGGGCTTGCACATCTGCACTTTGCAACCCATACCATGAGGTCAGGTGTAAGTTTTCCATTTGTGGTATGGAAATTCAAAAAGTTTCCAGATTTGGGAGCAATTCAGATTTCAGATTAGGGATGCCTGACCTGTAACACCATACTTTTTAGATTAAAAGGAAATAAAATGAGAAGTCAATTGAATAGTAACAGGGCTTTACCATGAGCCCACCATGGACACCACTGCCTCTGAGATTGGGAGCATATTCTGCCAGATCCACAGAGCGCAGCCACTCCATCACTCGATGATTGGTCCATTGCTGAACCTCAGATGGGGTGATGCTACTCTGTATGAACAAATAAAATTACCATGAGCTTTAGATGTTGGGACAACATGATCCTCAATAGTAAACCCACAAAACTCCAAAAAGTCTGCCCCATTGAGTACCACCACTTAACATCCCATGAAAGGTTTAAAATAAAGGATAAAAGGTATTTGATAATTTGAATTCTCTTTTAAAGGATTTATACGACAAAGTTTCAAGTTTTCTTACACACTAGTAAGAAAAGGAAAAGGAAGTCTTCATAGTGATATTTAACTCTGTGGATTAAGAAGGCAGGAAAAATACACCCATTAAAAGGAGAAAGCATAAATGATGAGTAAATCTTGGCTTTGGTTATACAGTGGACCATCATGTTGGGGGCGGGGGGGCGGGAAGGTGGGTTACAGGAAAAGAAAGCCCAAGAAGTAAGTGAGGCTGGATTCAAAGCTATCAGGAGATCAGCTCTTCAGGCATATGCATGTAAAGTGCCTACTTGAGCCTCCCTCGATGTGCTACCTCATCAGATGGTCGTCTTCGTAGGCAATTTGGTTCAAAGTTATTGATCCTCAGGACCTGAATGGCTCTTTTGATACTGAGGTGGTGCAGCACACTCACAACCTTCAAAGACAGTAAGTCATCCTGCAAAAAAAGAACAAAGGGAGTCTCACTGTGGCTTATAACAGGAAGACTTTCCTAGGGAAAGCTCAGAAAACTGAAGAAGTAGAACCACCAATTAAAAAAAAAAATACGCCCCATGAGCTTGTCAGTGCGTTCTAAGCTTTTATTTAGTAACAGAACCCCTTTTTCTGTTCTGAATAAAATTCTCTCCCAGACCCCAGATTAATGTTTCCAAGGAAGATGACTGCCAACTGCTTCTCTCTCAGATGCTCTGATAGGATAACAGAATCTCACACCTCTGAAAAACAGAGTTTGAAAAGCACTAGCTGAGCATTCCTCCTCAAGTGATTAAAATAACCAAGATCCTACATGCAGGAGGGAATAAGTACAATGAAATGAATCCAAATCAGTTCTCCCAAAAGGTGCATCCTGAATGCACTTCTATCATGGAATAGGTGCTAACCAATGGGCACATGTAACTATTATCTCATTTCACAGTAGTAGGTATCTTGGTAGCTGCAGAATGGCATTTATAACGAACTTGAGTTAAAGCCATGAAGTGCTTTAGTAAACTTTTAAATAATTTGGAGTATTGTTACAAAAGAAAATGAAGAAAAGACATTCCAAGGGAAAGTACACTAATCATGTACAAAATAATGTCAAATTTTTATTTTGAATGATTTACTATTTGTATTTTTATATCATAAATGAATAGTTTAGATTTGATTCCAAATATGTTCTATTTTTCTAAGGAAACTACAGAAAACATATTATTTAAATTTATTAACAGTCTGCATGAAGTAAAAAATATTGTGCTAGTATGATACACAGTTAAGTTATTTACTTGACTTTTTAGTTAAGTGTGGACAATGATGACATAATGTGCTTTCTGTTATGAGTTTTATATTAGGATTAGTTTGCCTACAGGCATGAAACACATGTAAAATGAGTTTTTATTTCAGTTAAATCTTGCCTATCAACTCTGAGCCAATTTCTAATTATGATTTTATCATCAGAAGTGTTTCATCTCCCTGACCAATTGACACTGTCTCAACATGAAGTAAAAAGTCATCCAGAAAAATGTGAAAGTAATTCATCAGCTGTATCTTCCTTTCACTCAAAAAAAATCTGAGAGAGAGAGAGAGAGAGAGAGAGGGAGGGAGGCAGGGAGGGGGAGGGAGGGAGGGAGGGAGGAGGGAGAGGGGGAGGGAGGGAGAGAGAGAGAGAGAATAGCGCTGGGTCACAGTATAAAAGATAATTTGTTTTTTGATTTGGAACTGAGGATTGGACCCAGGGCCTTGAACATACATTTCCAGCTCTATCTGTTATAATTTGCACATACTGCAAATAAAGGAATTTCTTTGTTTCCTCCTTAGTTTCCACAACTTTATCTGCAGGTAAGGTTGAGACTTAAGAAGTACAATAAAAGGCATCTGACAACTGCCCTCTCTTTTTTCTTTCAGCTAAGAGCCAAGGTTTGGTTTTCTGAACTAAGAAGCACATGATAGTTTTAGGGAAACTCAGAAGAATGCACTTGCTACACTATTCTCTGGCCTTAAAAGAGTCTTCTAGTTCTATATTACTATGCTTTCATTAGACATTATGACCAATTTTGCAAATACTATGTCACTTGATGCAAAGGTTTTAGTAAAAGTGAAAAAGAGAAAAGAAATGAAGAAATTATAAGCATCAACATATATCACCTATCAACCCTTTCAAGGAAAACATTTCACCAGTCTGCAGCCACTGGGAACTTTTTCAAACACACCAAAACAAATTATTTCTGAAGATAGTGATTTGGGGTACCAGTCTACCTCCAAACACACCCAAAAAGTAAACAAGGAAAACACCTACTTTGGGCACACCTTACTGATAAGATATTTCTTGTTTTCTTTTTTAATGTTTATTTTTTAGTTGTAGCTGGACACAATACCTTTATTTTATTCATTTATTTTTATGTGATGCTGAGGATCAAACCCAGGTTTCACACATGTGATGGGAGCGTTCTACCGATGCGCCACAAACCCAGCCCAAGACATTTCTTATAAGAGGAAAAAAGAAGAAGAAAAAAATGAATCTACTATAGAATACTTCTAAGAATAAAAATATTAGACAGCAATTTAAATTCTTAAGGCTACTAACTGAGAAAAAATCATTTCCTGAATTTTTTTTCTGGATTAATTTCTTAAAGACAGGATCTTAAGATAAATTAGAAAATGCATTTAACATATATTAATTTAAAATTGAGGTACAGAATGGCCCAAACATTTCACTGTTGGCTATTTTAATCTAATTAAAATATATCAGATTAAAAAAAAATCTAATGTACAATGTTTCCAATGTAAATAAAATGTTAGTTACTTTTGAAAATATTTATATTTTGAAGGGTCTTAAAAGGAAAGACCAGGGGCTGGGGTTGTAGCTTAGTGGTAGAGCCTTTGCCTAGCACCTGTGAGGTACTGGGTGTAATCCTCAGCACTTCATAGAAATAAATAAAATAAAGGTATGTGTCCACCTACAACAATAATAAATACATAAATAAATAAGAAAGACCATTTCCTTTCAAATCAAAATAGACTTTGTGATTCTTTTTAATTTGGGATTTTAAAAAACTTTATTTTGGAGTAATTTTAGATACCCAGAAGAGTTGCTAGATAGTATTGGGTTCTGTATGCTTCTTACCCAGTTTCCCCTAATATTGACATCTTATAATAATACGGTATATAATATTAACATCTTTATATCGTAAAAACTGAGGAATTAACATAGACAATAAATAATTAAACTACAGACTTATTCAGATATTTATTTCGTAATTCTCACCAGTTTTTCCACTAAGGATCTTTTTCTGTTTCAGGATCCAATCAAGGATACCATATTTAAAGCAGATGTTTTGTGGCCTAGGACTTATGGGATTGGATTTTTCAAGGTAATTTACATATTTCTGGTCACAAAAGTTATGCACATCCTTTTTGTGACTTTAAGTCTTAATCTGCTCAATTTCCAGGGGAAGATACTTACACCTAGACAGACAGGTAAATAGTCGCTGAATTTGTTCCAGGTAGAACAGCAAACTATTAAGAAACAGTTCTGGAATCAGATTGTGTTTAAATGCTTTATGGCTTTCTACCATTTTCTAACTGTGGAAACTTGGTTAAGTTAATCCAAATTCTTGATTCCTGTTTCCTCATCCAAATCATGGGGATATTATTAGTACTAACCCAAAGGGTTATTGAAAATCAAATACTAACATGTGTAAAATGCTTAGAAGAGACTAACACAACAAATATACAACATGTTACACACATTAGTATTATCACATGCAGGCTCACATGATATTGCCATTAAGAAAAGGGTTAAAGTTCAATGGTAAGAGAAGAAAACAAATGCCATGACTCAAACTCCACATTTCTTAGACATTAAAAGATTCTTATCCAAGTTAGCTAGTCACTCTTTCCTCTTATGTAAAAAATATGATATCTATAGAATACCATCTGAAAATGGTATTCAAATAAAAGTACCTTCACTACAATTTTAATCATATTATCTAGAACAATATTGTCCTGGAATTTATCTTCCCCACTGTTTTATTGTTTATTTTATTTTATTCTTTATTTTTTTGTGGTACTGGAGATTGAACCCAGAGGTGCTATAACATTGGCTATATTCCCATCCCTTTCTTAAAAAATTGAAAGAGGGACACTAAGTTGCAAGACTATCCTTGAACTTGGGAATCCTCCTACCTCAGCCTACCAAGTCACTAGGATTATATCTGAGTACCATCACAACAGGCTCTCTCATTGTTTTTAAAGTAGGAAAGAGTTTTTCTATTCATTTTCTATTCATTGACAGTAAAAGAAGGAATCAGAGTGAAAGTCTAGCCTTCAGCTCTTCTCCTTTACCCTGATAACTCCTGCCCTCACAGAACTGGGCTGAAGTCAAGAAGTGTTTCGGGAAATAGATGTCCAAGAGAAGGGAGGGGAGAAGGCAAGTCCCTATGTTGATGTCAGGCCAAAAAGGAAGCCTCTTCTGAATAGTCACTGCATATAGGAATACATAACTTAAAAACTTCCAGGGCTTCAGAACTCCACATTCAATTTAAAAATTTCTTTATGAGATTTAATTCATATACCATAAAACTCATCCAAGTAGACACTTCAATGTTCATCTTGTTGAATATATATATATATGTGTATATATATATATGTATATATATATATATATATATATACATATATATAAATAAAATATTTATTTTCTGGACAGCTTAGTTTAAATTAAGTTTTGCTTAGCTTAAATTGAGGTTTCAGGTAATCCCAGAGCAGTTGCAATTGCCAAATCCTACAATTTCTAGTCACAGGAAATATTTTCCCCTCACTCCTCAAGTTAAAGTGACATCTTCATACTCTGGTGGAACCATTAGGAAAACATTATATTTTGATTACTCTATTTGTATGTTTTTTCAAAGGAAAAAAGTCTTAACTCCTCCAAACCCTAGCAAAAAATCACTTACAACTGTCATGTAATGTAGCATTCGACCATCCACCCGTCCTTCATCAAACTGGGTCTTATACTGGGGGAGGCCAATATCATCCAACCATCCTAAAGAACAGAAACCAGCATCATTACAGTGTCACAAAACGCTTGTTTTTGTGATTAAAAAGAAAAGGCAGCGATATTTATTTACTTATTATTTTATTAAAAATAAAAACCTCTTACTAGTGACCCAGTTGAAATCCAGCTTCCCATGATTGGTTTCTTCCTCGGATCCTAGAGCTTGCAGTGCCAGCTGGAGTTTCTTTCGATGAAGTGAATGCTTGATTCCAAGTTCCTAAAACAATAAAAAATAACTAAACTGATAATTCTAACTATGTGGGCTTATGACTCTGGAAAATGATGCAAATTCTTCCAAAATGAAACTAACAGTAAGGATTCAATCTACATTAAATAACATACTAACTCAGGCTAGTAATGTTGCTGGATAAGAGGTTGTTAGAGAGCTAAGATGGCCCCAATTAATTTAGTGATATATTAGACATTCCCCAGTGACTTATTTTTTTGTAAGATAGCAACTGTGGCATGCATAATAGGAACTTCACTCTTATTTTGTGTAAAATTTTAAATAAATGGGACACAGAACATTTTTTCTTTTTATAAAGTTAAGTTGAATTGCATACATTACGTTGAAAAGATAAGTCAATGTGATAAAGCCACAAAATGACTTTAAGTCATATGAGCTTAAGGTTTATTAGTATAGCTATATAATTATTTTTCCTTAGAATTCTCAGTGGCTTTTTTGTTCCACAAAGAATCATTAAGACCAGGCCCTTCCTTTTAAGTCCATGAAATGAAATAAGTATAAAGTGGCTGAAAACTCAAACCTTTTCAAGATTACTAACACTGGCTCCACCCATGCCCCTTCCTGGAGTATAAAGTTACCATATAATTATATTCACTTTCTCTTAGTATTTTATAAATAAAATAGAGAAGCAGTCACCTTCTCTAGATCTTGCTGAGAAGCCTGCAAAAGTGTTTGACCAGACGCAATCCAGTGCTTGCCAGAATTCAGGTAGGATCCCAAGCCTTGTTCTGCAAGCCAATTACAAACTTGCTCCTTGGTCCATTTGGCAAATGGTGTATCCAAATCACTGCAGGAAAATGAACAAGTGCAAGAGAAACAATTCAAAGACAATTGTGTAGCTTATCATCAATTTTTAACAACTCTACATTCAATAGATATGGAAAGTCCCTGGCGATACACAGTTGACCATGAAAAATTTAATTTTTAATGTGTATTTGGAGAAGGAAGTAGTACCAGAGTTGAAAGTTATCTTCTAAGACCACTGTCTTCATTTTAAATGAAACCACAAAAGATTCAATGTGATTTAGCAAGAATATGTTCTATAGAAAAACACTAAGTTGAACCAACACAAATCACTATAACCAGTTTCAACCAATGTTGTTTTAAGACTGTATTCCCAAAGAGAAAACTCTAGGACAAAAAAACTCAAGTCTAACTGGAATTAACTTTGACAGAATTATGGTTTTTTTCCTGATGATAATTTATGGGAAGAGGACAATATGCTGCCATTGAGTATAGAATAGAGTAATCAAAATAAAATTTGTTTGCTTTTACTTAGACACAGTGTTCCTATTTGGAGGGAAAACAAGTAAAGATGAACATGACTTTGAATTTTTTTTTTTTTAATGCACAAGAAAGTCCTTCATTGTATTCAAAGAGAACATATGGCAAACGAGATCACTAGGTATTTGGAAAAGGCAAAGGGAGTTTCCTCCTTGCTGAAATCTGTGTCCAATGACCTGCCTGTTGGGAGGGACTGTTTTAAATTTAGTATCAACGCCTTGTACTGTATGTTTGCCAACCCCACCTCTCCATGCTTAGAAGGTCAGAAGAATAGTTCTCCACTTTGATAAGGGTGATAAAAGTTCTTAAGAGTCTTAATATATAAAACATTACATAGCCTTGATAAGTCTAAGAAATGTGATAGAATTTGTCTTTAAGTATTTTCGAAGACTCCACTAGTCTCAAATATTTATTGAATAGTTATTATTTGCCAGATACTTAAAACATATTAACATTTAATCTTCACAATCACCTTTTGTGATGGGTCTTAACTATTACGACAAGAAAATTGAGAGGTACACAGCATGGAAGTCATTGTTTATGATCATCTGGCTAGTAGAAAGCGGTAAGGACAGAAACCAAACCCAAGTTTCAACTTAATCTTCTGTGTGTGTGTGAGGGGGGCGGGGCGGTATGTGGCTGAAGGCCAAACTTAGGGTCTCACACCAAGCTAGGAAAGCACTCTCTACCACTGAGTTGTATACCAGCCCCTAGAGTCTACTTTTAAGCACTATGCTATCCATGGCTGTTCTTCATAGTACTTCCAAAGCAATAATTATATAAAATTTATGTCCAAGAACCACTGTAATACAGATGTGGCTGACACTTTAGCTCTGGCTCCTTACCTAACTCACCCAGTCCTCATTTTCTCTCCAGCTCTTACCAATCATGGACAAACCACACCACTTTTTAGATGACGAACCCTGTGTGATGATAAGCTATACTTTTGATAATTTAACCTAGTGACAGTATACTGCAGATGTCCCTGAGCCTTGATGCTTAGGTATAGATGCTAACGTTCATTCATTGGCTATACTTACCTGTTAGACTGTCCCAAATCTCGAGACCAACCCAATCGGGGGCCTGCAGTTGCCCTTGTCCCTCCTCTTTTGAATTCAGGCTCAGCCATGTCATCTGGGTTGAACGTAGTCGATTGACTTCTCCTAAGTCTGAAGAAGACACAACCCCTCATTGCCATATATTAGAACTGAAGAAGCTTTAGACTTTAAAGTCAATCAACTTATTTTCTTGGCAGTACTGGATATTGAACCCAAGAGCACCCTACTGATTAGCTATATCCCCAGTTCCTTTTATTTTATTCTTAAAAATTCTGATACTGGGTGTTTTTTTTCGAACTGGGGATTGAACTCAGGGGCACTCATCCATTGAGCGACATCCCCAACCCTACTGTATTTTATTTAGAGACAGGGCCTCACTGAGTTGCTTAGTTTCCCGCTTTTGCTGAGGCTGGCTATGAACTAGTGATCCTCCTACCTCGGCTTACTGGGCTGCTGGGATTATAGGCACCACTGGGATAATGGGCGCGTGCCACCACACTTGGGTTTCATTAAGTTGCCCAGACTGGTCTCAAACTTATGGTCCTCCTGCCTCAGTCCTGAGTAGCTGGGATTACAAGGGTGCACTGCAGAGCCCAACTAATCAGAACATTTTTAACTGGTACGTAGATTTGAGCTATTCTTCCTTGTAGTGTAGTAATGTATATAACTATACTTAAACTTGAACCAAAGCCCAGTGAGTTAATGAATCCCAAATCACAATCTTCCTTCCATAAGAGGAACATAAAAGCTTTAAAAATTTCATACCCATTTTCAGCCAGATTTCCAATTATCCCTTCATTTGAGCAAGTAAGACAAATTCCACTTTACTCATTCACTCTTTCACTTACTTTCCAAAGAGTCTCATGATACCTCTGGATTTCTTTTTGGAATCTGGAGATGGTGGAGATATCTGGAAAGGACTGTTTCCCTGTGAATCTCTGGGCTGAGAAGATGTCCCAGCCAGATCTAGGTGCTCCACTGTCTCCTTTTCTGTTTCAGCTATTCCAAGAACAGAAGAGAAGAGTTGGTGAATTTTAAAATGCAGAATGAACATGATTAGAAATCAACCTTGGTTTTAGCAACTGTTAGGGATTCTTCTTCTGTTGGTCTATAAATCAGTGACTAATCGAGAGCTTGATAAATATGAAAAATGTAACACAAATGTATATTCTACACTGCAGTTTACTTTCTTGAGTATAAAGATGATTAACTTAAAATCACAATTGCATTGAGATTAAAAGTGTAAGATGGGACTTCTAAACTTTCTTCAACTCATCTGAACTCCAATCTTACAGTTAGTTTCATGGCACTGTTGACTACCTCCCACGCTCTTTAAAAGCACTCTCTCTCTTTTTTGCTGCCCTGACACTCCTAGATCATCATCTGACAGTATCTCCTTTGCTGTAGCATCCCCCTCCTTTTTTTTTTTTCTTTTTGGTACTAGGGATTGTACCCAGGGGTACTCCTCTATCACTGAACTACATCCCAACCCCTTTTTTGAGACACAGTCTCTCTAAATTACTGAAGTTGACCTCTAGTTTGCTATCTTTTTTTCTCAGGTGGGATCATAGGTGTGTGCCACTGCACTCAATGCATTCCTGGTTTCTTTTCCTCTTATTCCATTTTAAGATTGGAAGTTCCCTCTGTAGGATCTTTTCGACAAGCTCATCCACTTGAAACTTGGCACTAAAAAATAGCTTTTGCTTTTGTGTGTGTAGTCCTGAGATTAAACCCCAGGGCCTCACACATGGTAAGCTAACACTCTATCACTGAGCCACATTCCCAGCCCATTTTTTATTTTGAGATAGGGTCTCACTAAGTGCTCAGGCTGGCCTCAAACTTGAGATCCTCCTTCTTTGGTCTCCCATGCAGCTAGGATTAGAGGTGTGTGCCTCTATGCCCAGCTTAAGCTTGGCACTAAATGATGGTTTTATCATTTAAGAGTAGGTGGAATAAAATTTCTGGGCCTGGTCTCTTCTCCCAGTCTCAGTATCTGAACATTTGTACATGTTCCCAATTCAATGTGCCAGAGACATTTTGTACTCAAATCCAGCCAACTTCCTTGAGAGTCTCTTATATTTAACTAATATTCTCTTTGTTACTCCATTTAAAACTCTTGTCATTTTCTTTTTATCCCTTTTTTTCCTTTGGCATTTAATCACCTCAGTTATCAAGTACTACCTACCTCTCCAATACTGGGGATTGAACCAAGGAGTGCCTAAACTTTTTATTTTTCTATTTTGAGACAGGATCTTACTAAATTGTTTAGGCTGGTCTTAAACTTGCAATCCTCCTGTCTAAGCCTCCTGAGTAGCTGGGATTACTGGCATGAGCCATGGCACCCAGCCTAGCAATTTTTAAAGAAATTTATCCCAATTATTATGATTTGGGCAGTGAGAAAATTTTAAACTGGATATACATAAATTTTCCTTTTGATATAGTTAGTACCTATTTATTTTGCTTTAAAATAATAACATCCATATTTGCCACTGCCAGATCTATTTTAGTTCTGTTAACTGTCTCTTAGTTGTACATTAACAAATACAAGGGCTACTATTTCTTCGATGTGAGATTTTATACTTAGTAAAGGAAAGTAAAAGTTGTACAAAAATCACAGGAACAATGTTTCAGCAAGATATACAAGTTGCAGAAGTTGACTTTTCTATGAAGCAGGGCTGTGATTACAGGTTATACAATAAGCAGCAATTGCCTCTAAGCAACAACAATCCAATTCTAAGAAAGATGAAGCAGATTATTTGAAAAGAGTTGTCTAAATAGATCATCTTGTTTTATGTATCCAGTGCTCATTCTAGATGTTTAAGACTACAAGAGAGCATGTCACTTTTGCTGGTCCACATGAATACACATGTGGATGTCTATATGAGGTGACAATACCCACTGGGAAAACCAAGGGAACCTACCCATTTGCACCCTACAGACAAGATGGGTACTGGTATCCCTGGAAATGTTGCCTAGCAAACCCTCATTTTAAGAGAATCATATTTTCCTTCTGAAGACTCTTTTTTTCTCTCCCTACCGAACACTGCCATACAAAAAAAAAAAAAAAAAAAAAAAAAAACAAACACTGAGCTTCCTCTCCTAAAATCACTTTCAGGTGACTCTTCAGGTAACATGTAAAGTTTCTTCTGTCACTGCTAAATGCTGTCTCCATCTTCAAAGCAGTAAGATGTCAGAGAAATGCTCCCTAAGGTAACTGAGTCCATACTTATCATTTCAGTGTCTTCTATAAAGCTTCCTACCTGACTAAAAACATTTCTTTTTGAAGGCTGGGGGAAAGGTACACATGGAAAAGGGATTGGAAGTGAATGAGTGATGATATGTGTACCAGGGGTGAGAGAGCTGGGATGGACAATGCCAGGACACTCCTACCCTTGACTCTGCCATCTGCAGGGCATTTGGGGGGCCTCTCAGGTCTCCCCACAAGGTGTCAACAGCCTTGGCTAAAACTGTGGTTAAGCTTGGAAGCAAAGGTTCTATGGAAAACTTTTTGTAGAAAATGGAAAAACCAATCTGGAATGGAGAACTACGTTTTCTGATTGCTGCCAGCTCCCTCTCTAGAGATTATAGAGGCCAAGAGCAGGGATTAGATAGGTTTGGAGCACAGCGCTGGTGAAGGTTGACATGCAGGGGTACAATACCTAAGGTGGGTGCACTGGCACTTCGTTTACGATCTTCAGAAATCCCAACAATGCACACAATCACACGCAGCCCAAAGGAGAGAACACAGGGGGTGACAAAATGAAACACAGATGAGACTCCTCCTAACAAATGTGCACCATGGAGGAAAGGCACACACTGTGCTTCTGAGGCTACACATAGACTCCACCAGGGCTGTCAGCAAGGGGTTAGCTTATCTACTATCAAAACAGATGGGACACTCTCTAATGATGCCATGGACAATCACATTTTTAGGTCTTTCTGCTGTTTATACCACAGGAAACAGCGTATGGTGCGAGTTGATACATCCTCACACTGCTAAATTAAATCCACTGAAAAAAACATCATTTGCTAACTATACCTGCCCCTCCCCAAGTCATTCACCATCATGTACAAATAGATGAATAGGGGAAGGAAGAGACTGATCTTTTCCCTATTTTTTCCCTCAAAGATCAGGTTACATGCATCTTGGCCACACATACCCAAGTTTGGTGCACTTGCTGTCCTTTTGTTACTTTTGATTTTAAAGAAGCCCCGGCCAAAGGAAGATCTTGCTTTTCGAGTGCCAAAGGGGTTGTCATCCACGGAGGCATCTCGTCCTGGAACTTTGGGAGGGAGGCTCCCAAATGTGCTACTTTCTCCTGAAGCTTTATCCTGAGAGAAGGGTGACAACAGTGAAACAGAGCACTGATGTGCACAATCCTTGCAACACACCAGGCCCCGCACTAAGCCTTAGACCATGATATATGCATGTTTTGCTTAAAAGAATAACTAAGAGCTGGGCATATAGCTCAGTGGCAGAGCACTTACTTGCCTAGCAAGACTGAGGTACTTGGCTTCAATCTCCAGAACCGGGGGGGGGGGGGGGGGGGGGACTGAAGTAACACATTGATTACCAATATCAAATAAAATAGAAGTATTTTTTAAGAAATCCACAATGAAAGCTACTTAAAAAAACAGCAATAGCAACAAGATAAACACCCTTCATCACTAATCCATAATCAATGTATTTACAGTTTTAATTTTTAAGATAAGAGAAATCATCAAATTTTACTTTTTTATGTTTTAAAGAATTTAACTTTTATTTTTTATTTATTTGTTTTTTTCTGTGGTGCTGAGGATCAAACCCAGTGCCTCACCCATGCTAGGAAAGCACTCTACCACTGAGCTACAACCCCAGCCCAAATTTTATTTTATTTGCCTCATTCTTTAAGACATGGAATGAAGGTATTATAACCAGAATAGCATATTTCTAAATTTTCTAGCAATCATGGTATAGAACTAGAATACAGTTCACATGTTGCAGGCGGTAGGTGGGATGTGCTGGGGATTAAATCCAGGGGTGCTTTACCACTGAGAATATCCCCAGTCATTTTTATTTTTATTGAGACAGGGTCTTGGTTAAGGTGCTGAGGCTAGCCTTCAACTCCTGCCTTAGCCTCCCAAGTCACTGGAATAACAAGGAGTGTGCCACCAAGTCCAGAAGAGTTCACATTTTTATATTACAACTCTATCAACAGAAGCCTAATGTAATTCTGCAAAGCAAGCATTAGCCCACATTTTTATATTAGCAATATAAGGAGATTCTACTCTGTTATTTTCACCATTCGAAGAGTAATAAAATGCAGATATAAACAGCAACTGCTTATTTTGGGCTTTTTGGTTATCTGAATTGGCAATTATAGTATCATAGTATTATATGGTTTTAGTATTATCCCAAAATGCTTCTAGTTTCATGTTTTTGTCCCTCATATCTTTTGCATTCTGTTTCCTTCTTTTGCATAGGTAGAGAAAAGGGTAAGGGGAAACACAAGCATCTAAGACAGAGATTTTATTCTATGTATCTAGTGCACATAGTAACTGCAAGTTTACAGATGATGCAATGTAGTAGCAGGGTTGTTATCTGTGTCTCAATACTGATGTCAAAAATTCAACCATTTATTGAGCTGACAAGACAAAAAGGACTTAAATGACAGCCCTTTTTACTGACTGCCTTGCTAGTTCTATCTATGTTTAACACAGGTACTAAGAGTGGACAGTCAGGAGACCACCTCTGGAAGTAGCCTGTCAACCCAACTGGAACCTTTAAAAGTTCATGATTGAAAAGGAGGGCAAAGAAGTACATGTAGATGAATATCCTAAAAATACCAAAATGTATGCCTCCAATGGAAATGGTGTTATAAAATAAACTACTCGTAATCTAAGGGCTTAAAAACACACACAGACGCACACACACATATTACTGGGAACTGAATGCAGGGGTGCTCTACCACTGAGTTACACCCCCAGTCCTTTTTTTTGTTTTGTTTTGTTTTGTGATAAGGTCTCATTAGGTTACCAAGGCTGAAGTTGAACTTGTGATCCTCCTGCCTCAGCCTCCTTAGTCAATGGGATTATAGGTGTGTGCCACCATGCCCTATCAAGAAGGGCTTTTAATAAGGCCTAAGGAAACCCATTTGTGGTCATTAAGAACATCAAGTAATATGACTGTGAATTTTTAATTTTGATTTTGCTTAATAACTGTTAGGTGATATTCAGATAACATAAAATTAACTATTTTAAAATGAATAATTCAGTGGCATTTAGTACATCTACAATGTTGTGTAATCACCACCTCTAATTAGTCCCAAAACAGTTCCATCATTCTGAAGCAAAACCCCTCACCATTATGCAGTTTCCCCCCATTTTTTACTCCTTTCACCACTATACAAATCTATAACCAGTTTTTATGGACTTATCTATTCTGGATATTGCATAGAGAAGAAATCATAGAAGATGGCCTTTTGTGTCTTCCATCTAGCATGATGTTTTGGTGGCTCTGAGGATTTTGGTCTCCTGGAGACATTTAAGCAATTTACATGTAATAGAAGTTGAAAACATTTTAATATTTTAATTTGGACATAAAATTACCTCTGAAGGCTTCTGAATAGACTCCTTTTCCTGTTCAAAACAATGACAACATTTAAGGTTGTTACAGGAATCCTTCATATATTCAGAATTTGTCACATACTGTTCCATAATCAGAAGTTTACATCACCTCTAAGCTACAAAATCTTAGTTTCATTTATTTCCTAAAATGTTCTATTACAATCTCCATTCTTGGTTTTATTAACTACTTTGAATTCTTATATTCATAATTAATATTTATTGTTAATTATGCCATGGTTGCTAATAATTATCCATTAAAGAAACTACAAGTCTTCTTATAAGTTTTATTTGCAAAATGAAAAAAATGAAGATCCCTAAATATATTCTTCTAGGGGTAACAGGAAGAAAACACAAAACCTACCCCATTTTTTGTCTCCTTCTTCAGACTGCCTAGGCTGCTGGATTTTTGCAGACTTGAAGTTCTAAAAAAAAATAATAATAATAATAATAATTAGTATTAATAATATGTGACTCTGATTCCTGTTTCTAAGTAGATCATCTTAGAAAGAAACGAAAATTGTGTGTGTGTGGGTTGAATCTTGAAAATAATAGAAAATCTGGAATCAGTCACTTACATACTTAACTAAATTATAACATTTAGTTCTTTTAAAAGCAAGGGTGGTTAATTATCCTGCCAATAGCTCTAAATGTCTCTTACATATTAGAATAGCTGGAAAAGCACTTAGGACTATCCTTACAATGTCAACATTTTAAAACAAGCCAGTGTTTTCCATGGACTAATGGTGCATCCTTTGCATGTATACATTTTTATCAGGAACTAATTCTTTTAATAAAATCAAGAATGACAATTTTATTTTCCAATTCACAAAGGAATTGTGTTTTTTTTTTTGAGCCTGGCAAAGCAATTTGACTTATAGTTTGACCCAAGCAAAATGAAAGAATCCCTATTGCTGACCATAATAATTCATTAGCTATCGTAGGGAAGGCAAAATGATACTATAAATACTCAAGAGATTTTCTCTTTCACATTATTAGCATTCAGTAAACAGATATGGAAATGGACTTTCTCACAAACTAAAAGTAGGAATATATGACCAGTTTACAAAGAAAAAAAGGGGCTGAGGATGTAGCTTAATGGTAGAGTTCTTGCTTAGCATGCATGAAGCTTTAGATTTGAGCCCCAGTATCACAAAAAAAGAGAAAAGAAGAGAGAAAGGGAGAGACAGAGAGAAGGAAAAAAAAAAGGAATGCATTTGTTCTAAAAATTATAAATATGCAAACTTTTAAAAGCATTTCTTCTGTATTTATGTGTATGTAAATTGCCAGAAGTGTTGACTACCAACTAAAGTAAAAGATAATGGCAAAACAGAAATGATCTCATCTTTGAGTACTGCTCTATAAAAAGGATTTCCTAATTTAATACAGACTGCAACTTGGATAAATATTCATATTAGGTCTTATAAGTGAAAATACAAAAAAATTTACAAATGAAACAAAACCCAGAAAACAACAACAACCTAAACTATTTCAACTTTTCCAGTCATCACAACACTCTGTGGGATGTTTTGCTGCTGGAATCAAAAGTATAAGTCAGTACAAAAAAGAATTAAAAGCACTGAAGTTCAAATAAATACTAATAAAGGATAAAGATCTGCAAAAACAGGACACAAGCTGATGGTAAAAGAGTGTCTCTTTGTAAACTTACAACCCTGCACTCCCACCCAGTCATTACAGCTGCATTAATTTATTCATTAGTTTAACAGACACATACATTGCCACTAATACACTAACTGTTAATATTGATTATTGTTAGTGTAAGAGACCCTTTTCTTTCTCAAGACTCAATCACACTTTTGACATTCAATAATATGTAACTTACAAAAGACCATCACACAACTGGGTTTCAATAGCAGCACCAAGGATTGCTTTTCCTTCACTAAAATGAAAAAAAAAGGTATTTATTAATGTCATGAATAAAAAAAATCTTACCAATGATCCCTGACTTACAATGGTGTTAAGTCCTGAAAAACCCATAATAAGTGGAAAAATCATGCTGATTTTTCATCAGTGTTGAACAATCCTACCCAACAATGCAGCTTAGCCTACCTACCTTAAACTTAGGACATTTATACTAGCCTACAGATGGGCAAAATCATCTAACACAAATCCTATTTTACAAGGAAGTGTTGAATAATTTGTCTAATTTACTGAATGCCGTATTGAAAGTGAAAACCAGCAACATTGTAGAAGCTGAAAAATCACTGAGTTGAACCAATATAGGTTAGTACTGCCTATATATTCTATGTGAACAGAACTGTCAAGAATGAAAGAATAGTAAAAGAAGATATTTCTATTTTTTAATATTCTGCTTTATTTTAGTTGGCCTAAATGTACGATTAGGCAGTTAGAAGTATGCCAGCAAAAATTCTATTGGCCTATAGAGATAGATTCCCTCTTCTGTTTCCTTCATAGGCATCTTCTAAACAGCCTTGTGGCACATCACTATTATTACCCTGCTTATAACACATTGTTGGTGACCCATGATCTTTAGGAAGTAAAATCCAAGTTCCTTAAAACCCCTCTCTAACCTGACCATCTCACATCTTCAGTCTCAGGTCCTATTACTTCCTGCTTTATGCCTTTTACTTCAATAATACACAACTGATTATGGGTTCCTGGCACATCTCTTCCTGTTTCCTGTTTTATGAGTAAAAACTATGTTTGTAAATACATGTGAAGCCTTTTTTTTTTGGATCTACTTTTGCGAACACTTATATTGCAATGGTAGGCTACAAATGACATACTTCTCTTCAAATGAAGTCTCTGGTTTAAGAGGCAACTTGGTTTTTTCAGGAGTTTCCACTCCTATAGTTGCTGCCGATAATGAAGGGACTGAAACTTGCAAGATGCTGGTGTGGAACTGTAATTACAAAAATACACCAAAAAAAAAAAATCAATCAATCAATCAAACAAACAAACAAGCAAAGACTTAAGCCAGAGAGAAACAAAACATAAATAAGATGAATAAAAGGTATAGTGACAAAATCCTATACCTCATATATCTCTGTTTAGAACTCTATTCTAATATTTATAAAATTATTTCAGGAAACAAGCATCTATATAAAAGAAGCATTAATCAAAGAAAATATCCTGGAGAGAGGTAATTTTTAAACTTGGTTCTGAGTAAGACACTGAATACTGTGAGTAAGACATATCAAGTACCATTAAGCAAGTTTACAGCAAATATTAATGGCTTCGAGCCCTGGCTAAATCCTTGGCTCTGACATACTTGCATATGTGATTTTAACTGCACCAATCTCCTCCTCTGTATAATGAGGATGACAGTGCCCACCCTCCTCAGGGTTCCAATGACTTCACATGAGAGTTGGAGAAAAGTACTTATTGTAGACAAAGCACAACTTTCATTTTAATTTCTGCCATTAATCTAATATGGTACATTGGTCAAATTAATCATTATTCCATGTGTGAACTAGTTGACTAATTTCAATTCACAGAATTAATAAAAAATGTAATTAAAACCAATTAAAATGTACTTTGTGGCTATCACTAAAAAAGATTTTGCTTAATAACAATATTTACAGCAACAAGTAAAATGTATAACACATTTTCTCGAATGCTTCATATATCCTAAAACTGGAGTGTGTAAAAGAATTTTATTCAGGGTTTCAGTTAGATTGTAGGTCACATCAGAGCTAATAAATCAAACACTTTGTGAAATATTCCAGTAAGAAAATGATCAAAATGTATCCCAATGAACTCCTGCAAGTTAAGCAGTTAGTGACAGCTCCTCAATTCCGAAAGGGAGCCAGCAAGCATCTAAAGACCCTATACAGGATCAGCTCATAAAGCTCATTTGGTTAAGCAAGCAATGAATTCAGCTTTGTGATTTTTATTTCTGTTGTTGAGTAGCGGTCTCATCCTTTGACACTATTTAAGGTTATAAAAGGGGTGAGGGAGCACTTGCCTAGCCTTGGGTTCAATTCTCCCACTGGAAAAAAAAAAGAATATTTATGTGTGTGAGTGTATATCAAAGGTTATAAAACAAAGTCATATTATAAAATAGGATATTATTTCACTATCAGTTTTTCAAATTGAGTCTTATAATTAATCCTGGACAATTTATTTTATTTAGTCATTGTTCCTGTTTCCTGAAGTTCATATGTCTCCTTGGATTCCTAATCATGGGGAAAAAACAATGATACTAACAATCTGACTCGCTTTCTTGATTTTGAAACTTTAAGGCTTTAGTTCCAGCCTCAAATCTCCCTTCTGGCTTTTAAGTAATGTGGCTGAACTCCTCAATTCTCATCCAATTATTTTTGCTCCAAACTAAAAACCTATCATTAAACTGGCATTCATGTAGCAAAGACACTTGTTTAAAGATGGGAGATCATTTGGGTGTGTGGTATGTGTCCCCTCTCTATAAATGAAGCACACTCATCATCAAATGTCATTTTCCCTTCAGTATGAATATATAGTTAATAAGGAGAGGATTTCGCTTCTAAACTAGTTTATTTCTTAACTAATTCCTGATCGATGACATTTAAGAAGGAAATTTAGTTGTTTTCTCCTTGAATTCATTTTCATTCAATTCAAATTTCACTTTCTCATTATGTAATTATCAAGAACAGATATAAAAAAGTAAAGTTACCCATGTGTTTTTTCTAACTATAGAAAAATGTGAAAGGAGAAATGACCAAAGAAGGAACTGATAAATATAAAGGAGTTGAGACTGTTTAGTTAAAACTATTTCCCATTCCTAGTCTTAAATTTTATATACTAAAATTAAGACATGGTTTCATGGTAAAAACAAGCACAAGTACTGTCAAAAAAAAACCTGGTCTCAAGATGAATCCAGGAACATGGCAGTAAAGCCCTTTGTTGACATCACAGGAAGACTGAATGTCTCACTGAACCTTTTATAAAGTCCAAAGACTGAAAATCAGGGGCTGTCCCCCAGCAACCTTAGAGGGAAACTAAGAGAAAAGCTTCTTATTAAGACGTGGACAATTCCAAGGGTTTAAGTAGTATACCGATGTTCAACATCTCTAGCAATTAGAGAAAAGTGAATTAAAACTACACTGAGATTCCATCTTACTCCAGTCAGAATAGCAATTATCAAGAATACAACTAACATTAAATGTTGGCAAGGATGTGGGGGAAAAAGATTTACTCATTGCTGGTGGGACAACAAATTAGTGCAACCACTCTGGAAAGCAGTATGGACATACCATCATTTGACCCAGTTATCCCACTCCTTGGTATATACCCAAAGGACTTAAAATTAGCATACTACAGTGACACAGCCACATCAATGTTATAGTAGCTAAATTCACAATAGCTAAGCTATGGAACTAACCTAGGTGCCATTCAACAGATGAATGGGTAAAAAAAATGTGATACACACACACACACACACACAAAATGGAATATTACTCAGTCACAAAAAATGAAATTATGACATATGCCCATAAATAGATGGATCTGGAGACTATCATGCTAAGTGAAATAAACCAATGGCCACATGTTCTTTCTAATATGTGGATGCTAACAAACAATAAGGGTAATGGGGGAGGAAGAATAGAAGTTCATTTGATTAGACAAAAGAGAATGAAGGGAAGTGGGGGAGGTGGGAATAGAAAAGATAGTAGAATTAATCAGACATAACTTTCCTATGTTCATATATGAATACACAACCACTGAAACTCCATATAATGTACAACCACAAGAATGGGATCCTAATTAGGATAAGTTATACTCCTTTGTATGTATGTCAAAATACACTCTACTGTCATGTATACCTAAAAAGAACATATAAAAAAATTAAAAAACAAAAAAAACCAAGTAGGACACCAAGTCAGACTCAAAAGGAGAGAGCAGGTAGCGAATGAAAGGGTGGCTTGGGACCTCTATGGCATTTTTACAGTCACAAAACTGCCTGTAAATACTTATCTGCAAATACTTGGAAAAGGAAAGAAGACTTGGATAGAAGACTGGGCCCTCATATAGGAACTGGTAACACTTGCCTAGATAGATTTTGAAATTGCCACAGACTATGGCCACTGTGTGCCTTTAATTTTATCTATCTATTTATCTATCTATCTATCTATTCATCCATCCATCCTAGGGAATTGAACCCTGGGGCACTTTATTACTAAGAAACATTCCTAATACTTTTTATTTTTGAGACAGAATCTTGCTAAGTTGCCCAGGCTGGCCTTGAATGTGAGATCCTCCTGCCTTAGCCTACTGAGTAGCTGATATTGCAGGCATATGCCACTGAGCTCAGCCAATTTCCTCTCCTTAAAATGGGAGTGCCTATAGCAGGTTGCAGCACATCTACCCCACCACTGTATGTTGTGTGTAGAGTGGGGGTGCAGAGGGGAGGTAACTTGTTCTTTAAGTTCCCAGCTACTTTAATTGATTGAAATGATTGTCAAGAAGCTGTGCCCAAAACTGTACCTGAGGAGTTTCACTTATATCTTGATCTGATCTGGATGACCAGCTCCTAGATGTCTTTGGAGAAAGACTGACTCTATGCATGGGACAGGGACATAAATTATGGCCAGAGAGTAAAATGATAGACTATATATCCCAAATATGTTTGTATCAACATATCCCACCTCATGTATTCTGACAATGTGGTACCGTGATTTGTCCATCAAGAGACAACATCTAAGTTCCCTCTCTTTGATTCTCAGTCACATAGAAGAGAGACTATGTGATTTGTGAGATGTCATAAAAGGGGATGCAAATTTGCCTGGTCCTCTTGGGATTCTCACCCTTAGGACACAGCCACCACACTGTGGAAGCCAAGGAAGCCAAGCAGTCACATGCAATAGGCCTTAGAGGGAAGATAGGGCCTCAGCTGAGGTCTCAGCCAATAGAAAGCCTCCACCAAAGGACACATGAGTAAGTAGCACTCAGAGAACTCAAGCCCCATGGCTTTTGTGACACTTCAGCTGATGCCAAGTGGAGGAGAGATGAGACATGCTTGCTGAGCCCTCCCCGACTTGCACATTGATCAGCAAGGTAGGTACTGTCATTCAAGCTGCAAAGTTTTGAACTGGTGTACAACAGATAACAAACTGATGGACATTCGAGTCTGATGTAATGTAGATGAATTTAAGATGGTTTATTCCCTACAGTGGCCTTTTCCAAGTCTCAACAAGCCTGAGGGAACTTTTATTCTATCATCTTTCAAAGTCATCATCAGAAATGACTAAAATAGTGGGCTGGGGCTGGGGCTTAGTGGTGAGCGCTTGCCTGGCATGTGTGAGGCCCCGAGTTCGATCCTCAACACCACATAAAAAAAAATAATAATAATAATAAGTAAAATAAAGGTATTGTGTCCATCTACAACTTAAAAAAATGATTAAAATAAACCTATTTATATCTCACTTTATCCCCCCTTTATTAATTTCCTATGTATTCTTTAATAAATAGATTCTAATCTCCTATGTAAAATGATATCTACCTCCTCCAGGGGGGTTTTCAAGAAAAAAATTTTTTGAGACAGGCTATATTGCTTAGACGGGCCTCAAACCCCTGGGGCTCCAGTGATCCTCTCTTGCCTCATCATTTCAAGTACCTGGAACCATGGGTGCATGGCACTATGAACGATTTGTTTTTCCTGAATTTTATAAGCAATTTTGACAATGCTCACAGCATTTTTTTAAAGAAAGGAAAGAAGAACGGGCAGACTGGGAGAAGAGAAAAGACCTGTAGGACACAAAAAATTGCTAGAACCAATTTAGTAATTCAACTGAGAAGAGAATCCATGCTTTCATGTTATCAACAGTGTTTTAATGACAAAGTCTCTTCAACATGAAGAAAATATTGACATTCTGTAAATACCTCTTCTGGAATACTTGTGTTGAATGGGTCACGACTGGGAGATCCCATTACTGGGGAAGATGATGGACTTTTCTCTATGTCACTAAAGCCCTGTGCATCCAACAAAGTAGAGATGGAACTGGAATTGAGCAGATCTTCATATTCACCATCTTTGCCTAGAAAAAGACAAAAGTAAGAAGAAGATAATAGCAGCTCTTCACTTATTTCACTTTTAGAGGAATTAGAGTGACCAGAATTTTTTTCTTTTTTTTCTCTTGAGGGGGTGGGGGTGCTAGGGATTGAACTCAGGGCCTCATGCATAATAAATATGTACCTTATTACTGAGCTCCACCCACATTCCAAAATATAAAAAATTTTTCTGATTCTCAAAAATCCAAGAGTCAATTGTTCCTGGCATCACTGGAAAAAGAGCTACATGTACAAACAGCATCTTAAACTGTGAGCACCTAAGGCCAGTGAGTACCCAGGGGTGTTATTAGTAGAGGAAAAAAATCATATTTGTTAGGGTTATTAACTCACAAGACTGCAATAAAACAAAAAGTTAAGTTATTCCAACAAACATGGAAAATGGGGGGGGGGGCTGGTTACACATTTTTAGTTTAGAAAAACCAAGCTGACACAACAAACTAATTTTGAATAGGAACATAGCCCCTATTAAAATGACTCATTTTTCATCGCTACTCTGGAAAATACAGAGAGAGGAAAATAGAAATAGAAAAAAAATGAAATTTAATCTTCAAAAATATCTTTTTATACCATTTCAAAGAAGAAAGAACAGCTTAGCAGAGAAAAGCAACCACATATTCAGCAAAGCAGTGACTTTATTTCTTCATAGTTATAGAAATAAAAAGGATTAATTGATGAACAACATGGAGCCAGATAGTCATTTTTTTTAAAAAGTAGAACTAATGTCTCTAAATGACACTAAACGCTAAATCATATACTTGCTTGAAGATCTTAATCAGACCATAACTTCTTAAATTGAAATATTACTAGAATTTTATTCTAATTTTACCAGAACTTAAGTGTTATTAAAGAGTTGTGTCAAGATTAAATAAATAAATATAAATGCTAGTGAGACATCCCTGTTTATGTAACTCTTTACTGGAACAGGGCATTCTCTGTAATGTTTTATGAAAACCTATGCACTGTTAAAACTACCTTTGGGGTTAAAAATTAAAACTACTTAAAACTTAAAGCTTAAAACTACCTTTGGGGCAGGGGATGTAGCTTAGAGGTAGAACACTAGCATATGTAAGGAGTTTGAATGCCAGCATCACAAAAACCTACAAACATAACACTAGCTTATTATGTTTTTTTCTGTTGCTAAGAATTGAACCCAGGGCCTTGTGCAAGTTTAGGAAAATACTGTCACTGAGCTAAATCCCCAATTCCAAAACTACCTTTCTAATCTACATGTTTATGTGCATAAGAAAAAAGTACTAGAAAGAAATATGTGAAAATATCAATAGTGATCATGCTGGTACAAATGTTTAGTGTATTTTCCCCCTTTTCTCTATTTTCTAAATACTTTGGCATACAGACTATTTATGGGAATTAATACTCTTCCTTTTTATTGGTGCGTTATAATTATACATAGTAGTGGGATTCATTATGCTGTATTTGTACATGACAAATCTCATTCCACATCTTTCTTGGGTTTCAAACATAAGAATTGCTGGGTTGAAATTCCATAAAATCCATAATATTTTAAATGTTATGTAGGTGTAAAAATTAATCACTTACAAATTTGCAACAATCCTTAAAAGAGATACTTGAAGGCACAGAAAAATGCTGGGTGATGAGAACTGTCATAGACTACATGGATAATTAGAGGGTGATTTGCTTATTTAGATGTTTATAAAATCTTCATATGTTAGTATGAAAAGAAAAAGGTTCTTTTTTCCCTCCAAAATATCCTGGTCCAAAGCATTTATTTTTTTCTTCATGAATTTATCAAAACTAAAATTTCAAAGTCCGAGTGTTTCATGAGTATTTTTCAAAAGACATGTTCAGTTCCAGTGCTTACTTTCAGAGCAAATAATTACGCATGACTTACTAACAAACAAAACAAGAGCACTTTTAAAGTTCCTCATATTTTTGCTTTGAATGACCCTCAAATTTTCTCCACATTCGAAGATAGCTAATTGTCCCACATGCAGATAAAGCAGTAATAAATAGAACTAATTTTACTTAGATGTCTTATAGATTCTTTGAACACACATGTTCAGAGCTGAACTCATCTCCCTTAATCACCACAATGTTCTTTCTCAAGGCTTCCCCATCTTGGTAAATGGTACCATCACTTGCACAACTGCTATAGTCAAAATCATCTATCTTTCTTAATTGTTTTCCGCTTTACTCTCATCTAATTTATCCCACACCACTGTGTTGATTTCAACACCATACCACATTTTCAATCAGACCCGGTCCCACTAGATCTTTTCATTTGGAATACTGCAAGAGTCTTAATTGCTTTCCCCTGCTCCCAATATCGTTCTCCACCTGGTCCAGTTGTTATACGACCATGCTGAAGACTATTAAAAATCCTGCAGTGGATCTCTCCACACTTGAACAAGAGCTGAACCCTTCATCCCCATTATTGAGCTGCTGCTCATCTCATCATATCTCTCTCCCCAATGCTCACTACCTTCTGGTCACATTGGTTTCCTTTTACTCTTAAATATACCAGGATGTAGGCCCTTTGCACATGTTGCTATTCTCCCTTTCTAGAATGCTATCTAATCAACTTCTTATAGATGTTCTTCCTGGCCAACTAATCCACTATTCTTATACTCATTAGCCTGGATACTTTCTGGTAGAAATCAACTGCCTGATAATATTATTCAATAAATAAACGAGCTACTGAATTTAGAATAATGCAAGAAATTAGAGGGGGCACAGTTGGACATCTGCTCCAACCATGCAGTAAGCAGACGTCCAGAGCCCAGCCCAGCCGAAGGTGGGAGGGGGCACAGTCGGACATCCGCTCTGCCTGCCCGCCTGGTAGGCAGAAGACCAGAGGCTAGCCCGGGGCCCAGCCAGCCATTGGCTCCGCCCACACGGTAAGCAGACATCCAGAGCCTAGCTGGAGGCAGGAGGGCGCCCAGCCAGCCATCGGCCCAGCCACCCGCCCTGCAGACCTGGAGAAGGAGCTGTCATGGGGCGCTGGGGTCAGACCAAAGGAGGCACAGAACGCAGAAACTTGGCTTGCGGGTCACCAGACCGAGCTCTGGACAAACATAAGGTCTCCCCAACATCCTCCACCTCATAAAACACGTTAGGAGAAAAACAGATGGAACCCATCTTGGAAAATCCCACCAACCCTTTAAACCCATCACCCGGTGGGCGTGGCTACCAGTGCGTTCTGGGACGGATCAAGCACCTGGTTTCCATCTCAGAGACTAAAATTAGAGAGGCTACATGTGGAAGCTCAAGTCCTCTCACACTAGCTACATCCACCACCCCGAACACAGGGACTCAAGCTAGGATTAGACAAAGCCACCTACTGGAAGGGGAAAAAAATAAAATAAAATAAAATTGGGTTCGGAGAGACTTTTTTTCTTTTCTTTCCTCACTTACTTTCTTTTTCCCCTCCCTCTTTTTTCTCTTTTTTTTCCTTGTTATTTTTTCTTCTTCTTTCCTTCTTACTCCCTCTATCCCACTTTCAACCCCCTAAATTTTACTATCTATGAGTAGGGTAATCTCATAAATACAGATAGGAGTTTGAATCTATACATTCTTCCATTAATTACCCATCTATTGGTTAGAGCTCTCCAAAGTTGCTAGGTTAGATCAACCCCATACCCTCACTCTTTTCCCCCTAAACATAGCATCCTACACCTGAAATTCAGTTTTCTTCATGCTACCAGAAATGGTAGGCCTTTTATGAAACTAAGGACTATATTTTTAAATGACAATTGAAGCTAAATCGGTAGACATAGACCTAGCTATAATTGTATTAATAATGAAAACTTGTGCTTAGATGATGTACTATTGATATTGGGAACTGTTAACATTTCTTTCTCCACAAAAGAGGGACTATGGAACTAAAAAAGAGCAATATAAATATATAGGGGGAAAAATCAATAACACAACAGTTTCACAAAGGTGGAAAGAAACGTGAGCAGTATGAAAAGACAAGGAAAGAAAGGACCACAAACAATGCAGGTCAATTCAACATTAGAAGAGGTAATATCGGCAGCAGATGGAATATCAGATAAAGAGTTCAGGATATACATGCTTCAGATGATCTGGAGTTTCAAGGAAGACATTAGACAGCAAATTCAGACAATGAAAGATGACTTCAACAAGGAATTACATAAACAAATCCAAGAAGCAAAAGATCAACTTTACAGGGAGATAGAGGATATTAAAAAAAACAAACAGAAATGCTGGAATTGAAGGAAACAGTAAACCAAATTAAAAACTCAAATGAGAGTATTACCAGCAGAGTAGAACACTTAAAAGATAGAACATCAGACAAAGAAGACAAAGTATTTCAACTTGAAAAGAACATAGACAGCTCAAAGAGACTGATAAGAAACCATGAGCAGAACATCCAAGAAATATGGGATAACATAAAGAGACCAAACTTAAGAGTCATTGGGATACAGGAAGGTATAGAGGTCCAAAACAAAGGAATGAGCAATCTGTTCAAAGAAATAATACTAGAAAACTTCCCAGACTTGAAGAATGAAACAGAATGCCAAATCCTAGAAGCCTACAGGACGCCGAATGTGCAAAATCACAAGAGATCCAAGACACATTATAATGAAGATGCCCAACATAGAGAATAAGGAGAGAATTTTAAAAGCTACAAGAGAAAGGAAGCAGATTACATTTAGGGGTAAACCAATCAGGATAACAGCTGATCTCTCAACACAGACTCTGAAAGCCAGAAGATCCTGGAACAACATATTTCAAACACTGAAAGAAAATGGGTTCCAACCAAGAATTGTATATCCAGCGAAATTAAGCTTCAGGATGGAAGATGAAATTAAAACCTTCCACCATAAACAAAAGTTAAAGAATTTGCAGCTAGAAAACCAGCGCTACAAAAAATCCTTGGCAAAACATTACAGGAAGAGGAAATGGAAAATAACAATGAAAACCAACAGTGGGAGGTAAAGAAAAAACTAATCAAAGAGGAAAAATAAATCATGGTAAGTAATAAAAATAAACAAATATGGCTGGAAGTACAAACCATATCTCAATAGTAACCCTAAATGTTAATGGCTTAAACTCACCAATCAAGAGACATAGGCTAGTAGACTGGATCAAAAAAAAAAATGATCCAACAATATGCTGCCTACAGGAGACTCATTTGATAGGAAAAGACATACATAGACTGAAGGTGAAGGTTTGGGAAAAATCATACCACCTCGGAAGCAAGCAGGAGTGTCCATCCTCATATCAAATAAAATAGACTTTAAGCCAAAGTTAATCAAAAGGGATAAAGAAGGACACTACATACTGCTCAAGGGAACCATACACCAACAAGACATAACAATTATTAATATATATGCCCCAAACAATGGTGCATCTATGTTCATCAAACAAACTCTTCTTAAGTTCAAGAGTCAAATAGACCACAACACAATTATTATGGGTGACTTCAATACACCTCTCTCACCACTGGACAGATCTTCCAAACAAAAGTTGAATAAATAAACTATAGAACTCAATAATATAATTGATAACTGAGACTTAATTGACATATATAGAATATACCACCCAACATAAAGCGGTTACGCTTTTTTCTCAGCATCACATGGATCCTTCTCAAAAACTGACCATATATTATGTCACAGGGCAACTCTTAGAAATTATAAAGGAGTAGAGATAATACAATGCATCTTATCTGATCATAATGGAATGAAACTGGAAGTCAACGATAAAAAAAGGAAGGGAAAATCCTATATCACTTAGAGAATGAACAATACGTTACTGAATGATCAACGGGTTACAGAAGACATCAAGAAGGAAATTAAAAAAATTTTAGAGATAAATGAAAACACAGACACAACATATCGGAATCTATGGGACACAATGAAAGCAGTTCTAAGAGGAAAATTCATTGCTTGGAGTTCATTCCTCAAAAACAGAAAAAGCCAACAAATAAATGATCTCACACTTCATCTCAAACCCTAGAAAAAGAAGAGCAAAACAACAGTAAAAGTAGTAGAAGGCAATAAATAAATAAAATCAGAGCTGAAATCAATGAAATTGAAACAAAAGAAACAATTGAAAAAATTGACAAAACTAAAAGTTGGTTCGTTGAAAAAATAAATAAGATCGACAGACTCTTAGCCATGCTAACGAAGCGAAGAAGAGAGAGAACTCAAATTACTAGCATACGGGATGAAAAAGGTAATATCACAACAAACACTACAGAAATAGAGAAGATAATTAGAAATTATTTTGAAACCCTACACTCCAATAAAATAGAAGATAGTGAAGGCATCGATAAATTTCTTAAGTCATATGATCTGCCCAGATTGAGTCAGGAGGATACACACAACTTAAACAGACCAATATCAATTGAGGAAATAGAAGAAGCCATCAAAAGACTACCAACCAAGAAAAGCCAGGACCGGATGAGTATACAGCAGAGTTTTACAAAACCTTTAAAGAAGAACTAATACCAATACTTTTCAAGCTATTTCAGGAAATTGAAAAAGAAGGAGCACTTCCAAATTCACTCTACGAGGCCAACATCACCCTGATTCCTAAACCAGACAAAGACACTTCAAAGAAAGAAAACTACAGACCAATATCTCTAATGAACATAGATGCAAAAATCCTCAATAAAATTCTGGCAAATTGGATACAAAAACATATCAAAAAGATTGTGCACCATGATCAAGTAGGATTCATCCCTGAGATGCAAGGTTGGTTCAATATATGCAAATCAATAAACGTTATTCACCACATCAACAGACTTAAAGATAAGAACCATATGATCATCTCAATAGATGCAGAAAAAGCATTCGACAAAGTACAGCATCACTTCATGTTTAAAAAACTAGAAAAACTAGGGATAACAGGAACATACCTCAACATTGTAAAAGCTATTTATGAAAAGCCTCAGGCTAGCAACATTCTAAACGGAGAAAAATTGAAGGCATTCCCTCTAAAATCTGGAACAAGACAAGGGTGCCCTCTCTCACCACTTCTATTCAACATAGTTCTTGAAACACTGGCCAGAGCAATTAGACAGACGAAAGAAATTAAAGGCATAAGATAGGAAAAGAAAAACTTAAATTAGCACTATTTGCATATGACATGATCCTATACCTAGAAGATCCAAAAGGTTCTACCAAGAAACTTCTAGAGCTAGTAAATGAATTTAGCAAAGTGGCAGGATATAAAATCAACACGCAAAAATCAAAGGTGTTCCTATATATCAGTGACAAATCCTCCGAAATGAAAATGAGAACAACCACCTCATTCACAGTATCCTCAAAAAAAAAAAAAAAAATACTTGGGAATTAACCTAACAAAAGAGGTGAAAGAACTATACAAAGAAAACTACAATACACTAAAGAGAGAAATAGAAGAAGACCTTAGAAGATGAAAAGATATACCTTGTTCATGGATAGGCAGAACTAACATCATTAAAATGGCCATATTACCAAAAGTACTTTATAGGTTTAATGCAATCCCACTCAAAATCACAATGGCATTCCTCACAGAAATATAAAAAAGCTGGGCTGGGGATGTGGCTCAAGTGGTAGCGCGCTCGCCTGGCATGCGTGCGGCCCGGGTTCGATCCTCAGCACCACATACCAAAAAGATGTTGTGTCTGCCGAGAACTAAAAAATAAATATTAAAAAAATTCTCTCTCTCTCTCTCTCTCTCTCTCTCTCTCTCTCTCTCTCCCTCCCACCCCTCCCTCCCACTCTCTCCTTAAAAAAATATATATATATATAATAGAAAAATCAACCATGAAATTCATCTGGAAAAATAAAAGACCTAGAATAGAAAAAGCAATTCTAAGCAGGAGGAGTGAAACTGGCGGTATAGCGATACCAGATTTTAAACTATACTACAGAGCAATAGTAACAAAAACAGCATGGTACTGGTACCAAAACAGGCGGGTTGACCAATGGTACAGAATTGAGGGCACAGAGTCCAATCCACAAAATTACAACTATCTTATATTAGACAAAGGTGCTAAAGGCATGCAATGGAGAAAGGATAGCATCTTCAACAAATGGTGCTAGGAAAACTGGAAATCTATATGCAACAACATGAAACTGAATCCCTTTCTCTCGCCATGCACAAAAGTTAACTTAAAATGATCCAGGAGCTAGGAATCAAACCAGAAACTCTGCGTCTGATAGAAGAAAAAGTTGGCTCTAATCTCCATCTCATGGGGTCGGGCTCCAAATTCCTTAATAGGACACCTATTGCACAAGAATCAACAAATGGGACATACTCAAACTAAAAAGTTTTTTCTCAGCAAGAGAAACAATAAGAGAGGTAAATAGGGAGCCTACATCCTGGGAACAAATATTTAGCCCTCTCACTTCAGATAGAGCTCTAATCTCCAGAGTATACAAAGAACTCAAAAAATTAAACAACAAGAAAACAAATAACCCAATCAATAAATGGGCCAAGGATCTGAACAGACACTTCTCAGAGGAGGATATACAATCAATCAACAAATACACGAAAAAATGCTCACCATCTCTAGCAATCAGAGAAATGCAAATTAAAACAACTCTAAGATACCATCTCACTCCAGTAAGAATGGCAGCCATTATGAAGTCAAGCAATAATAAGTGCTGGCGAGGATGTGGGGAAAAGGGTACACTTGTACATTGCTGGTGGGACTGCAAATTGGTGCAGCCAATTTGGAAAGCAGTATGGAGATTTCTTGGAAAGCTGGGAATGGAACCACCATTTGACCCAGCTATTTTCCTTCTCGGACTATTCCCAAAAGACCTTAAAAGAGCATATTACAGGGACACAGCTACATCAATGTTAATAGCAGCACAATTCACAATAGCTAGACTGTGGAACCAACCCAGATGCCCTTCAATAGATGAATGGATAAAAAAAAAATGTGTAATTTATACACAATGGAATATTACTCAGCACTAAAAAATAACAAAAGCTGCCCTTCCTATCCTCTACTATCCCCCCTCCCCTCCCCTCTCCTCCCCTCCCATCTTCTCTCTCTATGTGTAACCGATGTGAATCTGCAATACATATACGGGGTAAAAATGGGAGTTCATAATCTGCTTGAATCAAATGTATGAAATATGATATGTCAAGAGCTTTGTAATGTGTTGAACAACTAATAATAAAAAAAGAAATAAACTATTAATAAATTAAAAAAAATAACAAAAGCATGGCATTTGCAGGGAAATGGATGGCATTAGAGCAGATTATGCTGAGTGAAGCTAGCCAATCCCTAAGGAGCAAGTGCTGAATGTCTCCTTTGATATAAGGCGGGAGACTCAAAACAGAGCGGGGAGGAAGAGCATGAGAAGAAGATTACCATTAAATAGGAATGAGAGATGCATGAAAATGGGAGAGAGAAGGGGAATTGCACATAAGATGGAAGGAAACCCCCATTGTTATGCAAGATTACATATAAGATGGTGTGAGGAAGAAAAAAAGAGAGAGAGAGAGAAAAGTGTCATAGAGTGGGTAGAGAGAGGTGATGGGAGGGGATGGGAGGGGAGGGGGGAATAGGAAGGGTAGCAGAATACAATAGACACTAATATGGCTGTATGTATAAATGTGGTTGTAAAACCAATGTGATACTGCAATCTGTACACGTAAAAAAAAAAGAATTCACACCCCACTTGAATCAAATGTATGATATGTCAAGATCTTTGTAATGATTTGAGCAACTAATAAAAAATTAATTAAAAAATATGTACAGTTGTTATGTGTCAATTAAAAATTCAACAAAATAAATATACTACTTTAGCAAAAAAAAAAAAGAAAAGAAAAGAAAGAAATTAGGACCAAATGTATAAGTTCATAGCCACTCGGAATCAAGTAAAGTAGAGAAGTCTTTAGAAAAGTCTCTACCTTTTTTACCTTGGGCCAGTACCACTGTGTCTTGCATTTTCTTATACCTGTTTAGGCACTGTCGGAGATCTTCTATTTTTCGATCCTATAAATAAAATAAATTATCATCTTTAACACTATGGTTTTAAAACAGTAGTGGTAAGTCTGACAGAAAGAATAAGCAGACATAAATTACATACATTATTCAAAGAATACTTCTAAACTTTAGTAAAACTGGTAATATCTAGAATATTTTTCCTACATATATCAGAGATATGGAAAAAGTACCTCTGAATTTAGAGATCCTATCCTTCAGCTGCCATCTTTAAAAAACAAAAACAAAACATGGTAATAAGATACAATTAAAAAAACATGAAAAAAATCAGCTTTAATTACTCTTCTAACTTAGAGGTTCCGTCTTAAAAGAAAAACCTAAAACCTGTGTTAGCTATCTTTATTATCCACTATTAATAGGTATCAACTCACCAAAGCAGATTTGATTCATCATCATTGACCTTCAATCTATTAAACAATATATTACTAATTAATATTTTTCATCCCTTTTCTAATTTAATCTCTGTCTGGAACTTTATTGACCCCACTCTTAACTCCTTTCACTTCTCTGTCCACTCTTTCTTTTGATATCTTAATCCTTTAACTAGATATTTGTCATTGTCTTCTTCTCTTCTATCTATCTATCTATCTATCTATCTATCTATCTATCTATCTATCTATCTGCCTATGTATGTATCTACCTATCTATCTATTTTCTGGTGGTGCCAGGGCCTTATATATGCCAGGTAAGAGCTGCTACTACTGAGCTACATTCCCAGCTTTAGATAGTCTACTTCTATAACCCCCATTATTTCTCAACCTGAGCTATAAAATGCTGGAGCTCCAAAGTTCTGTCCTTGACCTTCTTGACTCTTTTCCTATGCCCTCAATTGTGGCAATTAAAATGGCCTCCCCTAGTCCCGATTCTGGGACTGGACATGTGACTTAATTTGGCCAATAAGATAGCAACTAAGCATTTGCACCTTGAGGCTGCCCTCTGGTGCTGCTCTAGGGAACTCTGAGGAACTATGTGAAAAAGCCTAGGCTAGTCTGTTGGAGGAAGAGAGATTATTTGGAGAAGAGACAAGTCATTCAAGATAGGGTGAACTCAGACCAATGCCTCAGTTACCAGACGTGTTAAGTCAAATTATTCTAGACCATGTAATGCCTCTGAGCTGCTAGCTTAGAGATCAGCTAAGCCAGCCTAGACCAGAAGAACCTTCTTGTCAAACCACAGAAGCATTAGAAATGATAAACGTGGTTTCTCATGAAGCAAAAGCTAACTGACACATCAACTGTAGGTTAGCGTCTACCAATTTACAATTCTGGATTTCTTCAGAAATGGAGGGGTTCAATCCCCACTAATTTATAATTCCACAAATCTTAAAATTTAAATTTGTATGCCAATTTTCTATGAAAAATCTCCTTTAAAATGTCCCATGGGCATATAAAATTGAATACATGTAAAACTAAGCTCATTATTTCCCCCTAGGACTTACTTAAGCCTCTGCTTGGATTTCCTTCATCATCATCCACCCAGTTGCTCAAACCAAAAATTTATTCTCATTTCTCAAATCCAGAGATCTGAGAAGCTTGTCAATCTGTAACTTTCTCTAAGATTTTGTCCTTCTTTACCAATTTGCTGCCATTGCCTGATTGTAAGCCCTCATCATTTCTCATGACTATATCAACATCCTCTTAATTGTGCTGTGTTCATTCTCCCTCTTATTCTTGCCTCCATTCTGCCACCAAAGTTAGCTTTCTAAAAATAGCAATTTAATTTCATCATTTCTCAAGGTCTACAAGCTCAGTCCCCAAATCATGAGATTAGCAAAGTTGCTTTGGTCAGCCACACACCCAGCCACAACCCCTGGATATCACGCTCAACACCTTCCCACTATATCCTAGGATATTTCAAGCCTGGGTTTCCATGTGTGTTTTGGCTCATGGGCCCTTTGGCTAGAAGCCTTCATTTTCCTGATGAACTACTGTTTCTCCTTGGAATTTTCCTCTTTGAACTCTGGAACCCTCAAGAAAGTTGTTACTCTTGGTGTTCTTGGCAGCTTGGGCATCTAATAGGAGTTCATTAAACATCAGGAGTTTTGCTTATTGTTGCTTTTTTAGGAAGAAAAACTAAAACAAAATGAACGTTAGTCATTTTTGTTGTTGTTGTTTAAATAAAAGGTATGGTGGGCAGCTTGCTAATTATTTTTGTTTTTATTCAATATTGGGAAAGACTAGAAAAAGAAACCTGCAGATGGGCAGGTGAGTATGACAATGAGTTTATTTCCACAGAAAATAAAGAAAATGGTAGACAAAATGATTAACATTTTTTATAAATAAGGAGGTAAGAAAAACAGAACAGGCAAGAATTAGAGAAAGTCATGATGACAGAAAATGATCAAGCCAAAGTTCTTGACATTTTGTTGCTTTTTTACTTCCCTAAAACTACTCTTGTTGGGGGAACATGTCCCCTTGTTTTGTTCATTCAGGGATACAAAGGGGAGAGTAGTTCTAACAACATGAACTGGACCTAACAGTTCTGGTCTGCTGGATATATGAATGATCATGTAGGCCACAAAGAAACACATCACCTTAGTGGGTAACTGCATCCCTGCTCATGACAGGATGAAACATCAGATGTTGGGGAGGTAAACCAGCCAGGAAAAAGACCTCTGGAGGCATTGGTTTCAGTGACATTGGTTTCAGAATGTACTTTCTTTTATTTGTCACCTGACTATGCAGAACTCCTCTGATGGCCTGAACATTTTCTATATTCACAGGAATAGGAGAAGGTAGGAATCTCAGTGGAGCTAGTGCCGCTGCTCCCTATTTCTGTGTGTAAAGCCATGATTACAACTGCCATTGCTGAGAATGTGCACACACAGGCAGGGAGGGAGAAGGCTGTCCCTTAATGTGGGCAGAGTTCAGGGTATGTTCTTTCAAACTGAGAAAGCTCAAGAAATTGTGTGGAATGGTCAAAATGGTGTCACATAACATTAATGTACATATTTAAATTTCATCCAATACCTTTTCATCATTTGCTGCCATTAAAGATTCCACAGCCTTTTTCATCTTTTGTACTTCAATATCTGAAAATAATACAATATTGAATCATAAATCAGTTTAATTATCCTGAGAAGCTACTTACTCTTCAGATGAAATGTTTTAAGGTAAAGATGTTATTGGTTTATTTTATTTGTTTTTAAAAAGGAACACATTTAACATCTATATTCTCTTTTAAGGAAAACCTAAAAGGTGAACACTTCTTATCTTAAAAGCTGTGATTCCAGAAAAACGATATGGGTACAGGAGAACTAAGTTCTCCCTCAAGCAACAATGAAATTCTCCCTAGTACACTAAAGATGGAACTTGGTTGTGTAACAATAAAAGCTCAGTTTTCAAAAATGGAAGCTATAAAGCAGTGATTGAAAGCAACGAATGGTATACATAATGACTAAAGCAGAGAAAATGATGCTCATTTATAACTAAGATGGAGGCATGGATGGTAAGAGCCTGATGGATTGTGATATTTACATGAATAGTCATGCTTAGAAGTTGGCTGTAGGTTCCATACAAAAGAATAATACTTTGCTTCATCTATAAACTTCATTTCCAACACTATTTTAAAGCAAACTTCAAGACATAAGGACCAAAGTAAGCTGAATGTAATTTTCCTTAAAATTTGATATTCAGGGGCTGGGGTTATAGCTCAGTGGTAGAGCGCTTACCTCGCACACGTGAGACACTGGGTTCAATCCTCAGAACCATATAAAAATAAATAAAGTAAAGATAATTGTGTCCATCTTTTAAAAATTTGATATTCAAATGCAAAAGCAGATTACTTGAATAACAAAATATTTTAAAAATGAAAAATTCATCCAAAAGTGAAAGTACAAATTAAATAACTGAAACACCAAGAAAATATATGCAAAAAAGCTTCTAATGTAGATCTCATGAAATAGTGGATTTCCAAACATGGAAAAGCTAAAGAAAAGTTCAAAATGATCTTTCAACTGTGGTAAATCTTAAAAACAATGCATTTTCATAGAAAATTTTCCCTCTTTACCTGGATGACAGAGAAAATGTTCTCTGATCTCCACCCTACTGGATGCCTTGCTCTATCCTGCGCAGCTAAAGGGTTGAATCGGGCAAAATCTGCAAAGTGATCTTTTCTTCCATATTTTCATTTTCATTGTCTGTTTGTCTAGCCTCTATTTTGTACACTCGGAAGAAATGGAGGGCTTATTGATGAAGCAACATTACATCTTTGGTGAGAAATGTTTTAAAACACATGCAAAGAACAAAGTAGTACTTCTGGTGATGCAAAGGCTGATGGAAATACACCAAAACCTTACTTTTTTCTTTGAGCTTCTTTTTAAAAGTTTCATCTGTGCGGGAAAACCCATTGAATTGAAAGTCAGCAAACATTACAGCAATAAAAAATATTTTAAACATACTATTAGTCTCCTTTTACCTAAAATGAAGGGATTCTAACCTTATAAAAACATTATAAGAAGCATTATTTTGTGACTGTAGGACTGATGGGAGGAGACTGATCAGAAAAATCTAACTTCATATTACTACATCTGAGTCTTCATATTTCTGAACCTTGATTTTTTTGTGGGAAAATCAGACATAACAAAATCCAAGTGTTTCCTAAACACCATATGAAGTGAAAAATGAGTTAATGTTGCTTTGGTAGTTTTTTCATTTCTATAACAGAAATGTTACATGTTCAAAACATGGTCCTCTGGAAAGTGGCCAGTACAATGCTATGCCACACTGAATTCAACACTCAAGTTCTGCAACACTGAAATGGTCTATCAGCCATTCAATGAGATGAGTCATGGTTGAGCCAGTTATATATGCCAGTAGCAGACTGCCACAAAATTTCCAAGACTCTTCTCTGTATCTGCCGTTATCTGTTTGTACACTGGTAACAAGAAGTTCATACACTGGGTCCAGTCCTCAGTTCAGACTGTGGGCAACACTACTCTAATACATCCTCAAGTCCTGTGATTCCATTTTCTTTTCAAAGCACTAAAGTGGGGCTGAGGCTGTAGCTCAGTAGTAGGCCTTGTGCCTAGATTAATCCTCAGCGTGTGTGTGTGGGGAAGCAAGCCTATTCCTGAATGCTCTTTGACAATATCTTACATATTCCAAAATATGGGAGATGAGAGGAGGGGATTCCATTCCCTTCAGGTTTGAGGAACTGATGAACAGGGAATTATGATACCTGCAGGTATATAAAACCACAGTATTCTAGAGCCAAGAAGGACTTTAGAGGCAATCTAATTCGAGTCAGAAAATAATGTTATTCATTTTCACATAACAGATAAAAATATGCCAATGCTATACTAACTGAAATCTGTTCTGTTTCAAATGACTCAGAAGTTGCTTTGGTATTTTAGTGTTGCAGTCTTCCTTCCTTTATAATCACAAAGAAAGGCTAAATTTGACCTAGTATTGTCAGATGTTATACATTATATTTACAAATTATCATTAAAACAAAAACATGTTTCATCAAGTTATTTTTTATCATGTATAACCTATATTATCAGGATTACAAACAATACAGTATTCAAAAAAATCCTCCTTAGTTATGAAAAAAAAATCTTTGGATAAATTCATACATTTTTCCAAAACAGAATAAGCCTATCTTTGCTCTCTAAAAGATTGAGAGCTTGGCCCACAGTAGGAAATTTTCACCAATATTCCAAAGATAGAGAGCCGTTCCTTTTTTTCTCTTAAAAGAGTAGGGGAGGTTTCTAGATCCCTTATTTCATCTTTTCTCAAGTTCAGTTCAGAGGAAAACAATCTTGGGACACAGTAATTGTTCCTTTTGCTTCTTCCAACATTCCCTTGTATTGCAATTTGAAAAAGTATGCTCTTGTGATGAAAATGTACAATTTCGTCAATTAAAGTGAACACCCAATGAAGTACAAAACTGCCCTACCCCTGCTGCTTCAGAGAAAGGTCAGGACTTCTCTTGCCACAGTAGAGTCCCAGAGAACTCCCTGTGGCTGTTGGCATACTTGGTCTATTACTTTCCCCATTTCTTTCATACTGAAATTATATGTTGACTAACTTTAGATTCTCTCCTAGATTTTTGAGGATTTTAACAAAGTAAGATAACAATAGTTAAACAAATATTCCTACCTCTATCAAGAATCTCAACCCCTTCTCCTTTCATCTTGCAAACCAACTTTTCTTGCAGCCTTTTTACTTCAGATTCCTTCTCTTCCAGTTGTTCTTTTAAAGATGCCAGTTCATCCTACAAATTGTAAATTTATTTTAAAATTGTATATTATGACTGAAAGGGAATATTTAAAGAGCACATTAACTCTTTAGATCAGTAATCTGATTGGACAAATGAAACAAAAATCTACAAGAATTTAGACACAAACATCAGAAATTACACAGTAGCGATGAAAAGCAGGAGGCAAGACTATTAAAAAAAGTATACTTTATAATAATCATGACAGGTTTCTTTGTGAGTAAATTAAAAAGAAATCTTTTAAAGTATAATTAAGGCTGGCTAGTATATTATATTAAATTACAAAACATGATTAAGATAATCAAAATTACATTCTTAATGTCATAAAAGGCAAAATAAAAGGCAAATGGAAAAGACTTCCTGACATTCACTCAGCATTTCAACATGGCACACTAATGCTTCCTAGACAAGCACTGAGCTTTAACCAGTGGGCAAGGTAGAAGTCATGAACCACCTTAGCTAAATTATAGGACATAATTATTCATTCTTATAATTAAGCAAAAGAACAGAACCTTTTATGGCAATGGGAAAAGAAAAATTTCAAAAAAGGACTTAAATATCAAACTAGTCAACTATAAAGGCTTCAATGTCATTTGTATATTTATTTATTCAATTTGCAATTCTGGGGATGAAACCCAGAGTCTTGTGCATACTAGACAATGCTCTATCACTGACTGAGCTATAGCCCCATCCCTTTTGCTAATATTTTAGATTTCTGTTTCATTTTAGTAAAGAACTAGTTTTAGCAAATCTAAGTTCTACTGTCTATTTTTAATGCAAAAAATTAGAGCTGTGCAATGCTAATATGCATAACTTTATATTCAATATCACATTTCATTTTCAGAGTCTACAGATATTTATTACACTTAGTATTATGAGAAGATGTAGTACACCAATGAAGGTAGAAGGTTTGCCCTACAGTTCTGACTTATGGTAAGAATGAACACCAAGTCCAAGACATTTTCAGTAGTACTATTTGCTGTGCTTTTCTCATTGTGCTGCTTTTTAGCAGTAATTTCTGTTCAAGGCCATGATAACATAACATTATATATCTTCAAGAAAGCCCTGAAGGAGAAAAGCAGTATCTACTACTGATATGAAATAAAAATTCTTTCACAGATGAACTTTTACAATTATTTTATGATGTTCGGGGGATCAAAGAACCTGAGGGTTAGATTTAATTTATAAGCTTGTTTGTTTATTTATTTATTTATTTAGGGGCTTGAACTCAAGAGTGCTTTACCACTGAGTTACATCCCCAGTCCTTTTAAAGTTTTTGTTTTGAGACAGGGTCTTGCTAAGTTGCTTGGGGAATCTCGTTAAGATGCTAAGGCTGGTCTCAAACTTGTGTCTTTCTGTTTCAACCTCCCGAATCACTGGGATTACAGGTACATGCCACCACACCTAGCTAATACTTTTATTTTATTTGTTTATTATTTTTCATTTATTATGTTGGATATTTCTGAAAATAGCATTAGGGATCTCATTGTCTCTTTCATCAGTGTTGTATGTATTTTTAATAAACAGCTGACATACACACATATACAAAATAAATGCACATGCCACTAAAAACACTATCACAGCAAAACAACACAAGCCAGAAAGTGACAGGCCATGGAGCCCATCACCCAAAGTCTACTACACCTTCAGTGACTCCCATTTTTGTTCCATCCGCTGCTTTTCATACTGCATCTGACCCACCTTGATTTTCATGCTAGAAAGTTTGGCCATTAAAGACTGGTAGAGAGACAGAGGAGTGAAAGAAAACTAGAGAGAAACAGACATACTAAATAAACAAGAAAACAGTATCAGTTTATAAAGGCGGTTAGATAACTCAGAGAAATGGCAGGTTACATTCTGGGAGATTAGTTAAGCCTTGTTTATTATTCAGAACAGTAGTGTTTATTTTCAAAGTTTCCAGCTTGGAGAAAAATATCATTTACTTATAAAATACCTTATTATCATATACTAAGTAGAAAACATTTTCATTTATATTACTGGTGACAGATGAGTAGTGGAGCTATTCAAATTTGTTTTTATAGGTAAGAAACTTACTTTGGTTGACTTAAGCTTTTTTTCATATTGAAGTCTTTCACTATCCATTTCACTGACTTTTAACCTTAAATCATTGATCTCCTGAATTAGTCCCTGTCCAAAAAGAAAAAACAAGAAACACATTAGGAAAGTGGTAGCAGTTACCTCAGTTACCTGCTGTACCAAAGTAGCAGCTTAGTTTTTCTTTTTTTAAGTACTGGGGAAGTGCTCTACCACTGAGCACTGAGCCACATCTCCAAGTTCTTCTAATTTTTTATTTTGAGACAGGTCTTGCTACATTTCCCAGGCTGACCTTGAGCTTGCAATTTTCCTGTGTCAGACTCCAGAGTCACTGGAATTATGGGTATGCACTACCTGTGCCACCGAATATCTGATCTTAAGAAGGTGGAAATCTTAAGAGGTAAATAGCTCCTAGGGTTTAAGTTGTGTGAATCAGGTCTGACAAATGGAAAACCAGTAAATGTATTTCCTTAAGACCAAACTGTTTAGAAAAAAATTTTTTGTAGTTGTTGATGGACAGCGTATTTATTTTCTTTCTTTCTTTCTTTTTTTTTTAATGTGGTGCTAAAGATCAAACCTAGTGCCCCACACATGCTAGGCAAATGCTGTGCCACTGAGCTATAGCTACAGCCCCAAATCAAACCATTTTCTTATTTAAACACTGCTTTAAATTCCCAATGCTTCTGCCCTAAAGTGGTGGGCTTACAAAAATAAAAGATTAACAAAGTTCTACTGTTTATATCTTGAGTGTCCCCAAGGACACAAGCTGTGATCCCCAGTATGGAGCTGCTGGGAAGTGGTAGAACCTTTAAGGGGTAGGATCTACTGGGAGGTTCTGAGGTCTTTGTCCTTTAAAGGGCCTGTAAGACCCTAACCCCTTTCTCTCTTTTTTGTTTCCTGGCCATGGAGTGAGCAATTCTGTTCTTCAACATGTTCTCCTGATGCTCTCCTACTTGCAAAAGGAACAAGGACAATTGATCATGAACTGGAACCTCCAAGACTGGGCCAAAATAAACATTTTTCTCTTTATACATTATCTAAGGTATCTGACATAGTGATGGAAAGCTAAGTAACACAGAAAAGTAGTTTCATATCTGACTCACAACCATTTCTTGGATGTTTCTAGACTAAAACTATGAACTCTGTCTTTTAAAATAAACCAAATAAATTTTCTTGTAAAGCCATTTACCTTGAAGGCCTTCTCATTGATACGTAAGTATTTATAAAAAAATTTTTTTAAATAATTTCTTCCTTAGTCTACAAAAATACAGATTACCTTTAAATACTTTAAACAAAAAGATTCTCAATTTGAAGATGAAGGTACTGTAGTTTACACATATATTTTACATAATACAATTTTATATTGGGAAAATGAGAAAGAAAACAATCTTAATGTTTTCATAATAGAATATAAAAAAACTTGGTACCTTTCTACTGCCACTTTAAAAAAAAACTAATTTGCCTGTAAATTTTGCCTAAATATTGAGTATATTTATTGTCTAGAGCCCAGAGAGGAAGAAAAGGAATTTAGAATGTTAAACAATAATAACTCCTCCAAATAAGAAGCTCAGATACATTGCAAAGGAGACTTTTTGTTTCCCCCTTTTCTTTTCAGCTATACATCACAAAGATTCCTCCATGGTTAATATCTTAATATCTCTTTCATCTTATATGACATTTATTTCTGGACAACGAGTTCATTGATTGTAGAGCAGAAGTATACAAACATGTCAAAAAAGTAGAATAATGCTTTAACAACTTTATTAACAGATTATTCTAAAATTATAAGTGTAATGATTCCAAGTCATAAACGCTGGGGAAAGGGATGCTACATAGGAATATACTTCCCAGTAAAACTATAAAAAGGGTTCTTGTAAAAAGGGTAAAACTATTCCCTACCTTTATAAAATTGCTTAATGATAATTATATAATGTGTTCAGTAAGAGAAAATAGACTTTTTTCCTTTTATGAGGTCAAGAATATGTGACTACTAAAAAAAAAAAAGTTTAGTTATGATCCCTTATTTTAAGTTCAGAACTGAAGTTCAAAGAAAGTCAGTTTCTCCCACTTAGTAATCATCCTTGCATAATACAAGTCATTAGTGATCTTCCTTCATCCAGTCTTTAAAATATATGTTATGGTTTAGATAAGAGATATTCCCCCAAAAGCTCATATGTGAGACTACAAGAAAGTTTAGAGGTGAAAAGATTGGGTTATGAGAGCCCTACTCTAGTCAGTGCATCAATCCACTGATAAGGATTAACAGGGTGCTGACTACATGTGGCTGGAAGAGGTGGGTCACTGGGGGCGTGCCTTAGGGTTTGTATTTTGTCTGTGATGAACAGTGCTCTCTTTGCTTCCTGATTGTCATGCCCTTCTTCCTTGATGTTATGCTTCACTTCAGGCCCAGAGCAATGGAGCCAGCCATCTATGGACTGAGACCTCTGAAATGGTGAACAAACTGTAAATAAACTCTTCCTTCTCTAAAATTGTTCTTGTCAGGTTTTTTGGTCACAGAAGGAGAAAGGCTGACTAAAACAAAATATTTTTCTACTTTCTCACTGTTAAAGAACAGCTTTGAGTTCCTATCTGGCACTGTTGCATATTTTACCACTTCCTTTAGTGGCAATTTCCAAAAGAGAAGAAGCATAGTGTATACTTCTAAACAAACAAAATTACTTGCCAAGCATGGTAGTACATGGTCTGAAATCCCAGTGGCTCAGGAAGCTGAGGCAGGAGGATCATAAATTCAGTCAGTCTTAGCAACTTAGCAAGGCCCTAAGCAACTTAGGGAGACCATGTCTCAAAATTAAATATAAAAAAAGGCTGGGGATGTGGCTCAATGGTTAAGTACCCTTGGGTTCAATCCCTAGTACCAAAAAGAAAAACAAACAAACAAACTACTCAATTATCTTTCATGGCAATACTTTGAACATGAATCTACATTTCCAACTTAGAAGAAATAAATCTTTCCATATTAACTCAAGTTGGAAAACATGGAAATTGATCCTTAGTATGAAAATCTTAACAGGGGAATATTGATTATTTCAATTAACTTATCAGAATTTCAGTCCTAAAGAAAACGTGTTATCTTCCCCTTTGTCCTTATAAAGAACTCAAGTTAGGGCTCCCACAGCAATTCAGTTTCTGACATCTGAGTTCTTACCAGAAGAGGGCACTGTTGAACAATATTAACCATCTCTCATCAGCAATTCCTGGGACAATCAAGCCTGGAATCTTTCAAGGTTTCAATATTAACTCATAATCTTTTGGAAACTGCCTATATTTCTTTCTCAATTCAATGTTTTATTAGAAATTACTATTCATATATTTTTAAATTCTAAGACAAAGTTAAAGGATTTGGGATTCATGATACAGCTAGGAAAACATTTTGTTTCTATTGAACAATAATAACAGGAACATATGCACATCCAATTCAGCTTTAATTCTGAAGACTTTTAATTATTTTCTTATATAACATCACAAATATAAAATAGTCTATAATTTGTAGGTATGTGCATACTACATTTTACCAATAGCATTCAATATTTATTAGAAAATCATCAGAAACTGAGTTCTATGGGAAGTGTGATGACAAGATCACCTTGCCTACGGAAGAGAATTCAAGAGTAAAGTAAGAAAGCAGTGGGGGAATGTGAAAGAAAATGCAGACTGAAAGGGAAGTGACCACAACACTTGGAGGGACCAAGAGTTCTTTTTGCAGAAGTGCAACAGAGGAGAAAAAAGAGAAAGAGGAGAGAGAGAGAGAGAGAGAGAGAGAGAGAGAGAGAGAGAGAGAGAAAGAGAGAGCAAAAGCAAGAGCAAGAGAGACAGAGAGAGCAAGAGAGCAAGAGAACAAGAGAGAGAGGGGCCCAGCAGGAGGGAGTTTTTATAGCCCAAATCTAACAGGGCCTCTGGTCTGCAAGCTGCCTTGTTGGCACAAAGGGGGGTTGAGTGTTCAGCCTTGAGTGGGGGTTGAATGTTCAGCTTTGATGCAAACAGGTGATAAAGGACCAGACAGAAGGAGGTTTGAGTGCATGGGCCATCCTGCAGCTAACATTTGATCAGCCTGCCCTGCAGACAACATAGTTCAGCCTGTTCTGCACCTAACACAGACAAACTTCAGAAATGTAAACATTGTTCTGGGATCATACCAAGAAATCCCAAAACATCTGCAATTTAGTCCCAAAGTTGGGATCTCTTACCCAAATTAAACTAACAGTTGAACAAGTTAAGACTTCTTTTAAACTTTGCATATCTTTGTAGATGTTATGAAGAAGGCCACATCTTGATCCCTTTTCCTTTTTTTTTTCCCCTGTAGTAGAACTAGCTTCCCTGCCATGTTGTCTACCTGTTGACCGAGTTCTATTATTATGTTAGGCAGTGACTATGAAGTCAGGAAATGACAGAAAAAAAGAAAGAAAAATATCCAAATGGATTTTTAAAGAAAGCACAAAACCAAGAATTTTAAAGACATTGGGTAACTTTCTAAGTCCTTTTTAAGCGCTCCAGTCTCAATCAAAGGAAAAACATTGCTCACATAGGTGACAGAGCTTCAAGATTGAAACACAAATGAGTTAGGGATTTCCTTTTCCTATGGAGGAAGCAAGAAATAAAAACAAGACTTTTCATTAAAGCTAAATCTTTGACAGGAAATTTAATTTTGCAAATAATAATGAGGTAAATCGCATTACCTCAAATTAGACTTTCAAACTGTGGACAATAGATAATATACATGATTAATCTGGGATCATGGTAGTACATAGTTGATATAAAATTAATATTTGATATGCAGAGAAGGGAAACATAAGGAAATGATTGCCTTCCCCTCTTTCTTATTTCCCATTTTATGATTTAATGTGGTACCTCCCCATCCTCTTAAGGAAGAAAATGAAATAGAAGAAAAGGAGGAGAGAATTTGGAGAATTTCTACAGCTCTTTACATTTAACTAATTTTTTTCTTTATCTTTTTATTTACTTATTTTAGTTTGGGGACTGGACCTAGATCCCTTCACATGCTAGGCAAACACTGTAACACTGAGCTACATCCTGGGCCCTACATTTCATTTTAAAGAACAAAACTACAAACTGGAACACCTGGGTTAACAATAAAATGGGGAGAACAGACAAGTTTGCTTAGCCAGCCACAGGTATTTCAGGTTATAGAATCTACCCTGAGTTTCAAAAAGGTACAATGAATTTCATTTAATTGATTTATGTGTGGAGCAGACCAAAAATAGAAGGCCAAATTAAATGACCTCCACAAAGCTTTGTGATTGTATGATTGCATGATGTGGACATATTCTCTCTATATATAAAAACATCCTCTTGGGTGGGGGTTGTGGCTCAATGGTAGAGTGCTTGCCTAGCATGCACAAAGCCCTGGGGTCGATCCTCAGCACCACATAAAAATAATTAAATACAGGTACTGTATCCAAATACAACTAAAAAATAAAATATTTTTTAAAAATCCTCTTATTATGTAAGTAAATAATCAGTGTGCCTCAATAAGGGCTACTAATAAAATCATGCATATAAATACATTTATTTTAAAACTTAAGGGACCTGTGCGGGACCCAGGCCCACAGTCTGGGTCCATCCTGCCACAGGCAGACAACCACTGGAGCTCAGGTTCCAGCACAGGAACGCCTCTTCCAGCCAGCAGACCACTGCAGGAGCTTACACCCAGCCCAGATTCGCCCACACGGACAGGGTACGTCCAAGTTCGCCACCTCCGCCGCACCTGGGACCCGAAGCCTAACCCACTTGCATCTTGGGACACTGCAAACATCACCATAGTCTTCCGCACGCAGTAGCCCCTACATTTTTGACAACAGACAGAGCCTAGAAGCAGCTGCATCTCAGAGCAGACATCACAAAGACAGCATGAAGCCTACCCTTTGAGCCCCATCTCTGTAAGACATTGCATCCATATTGGGGCACCTCCACTATTATCTCAATATTGCCACTACCACGTCTAGTTGCAGTAGCATACATTGAGGGACACCAGCAGGGTCTGGAAGCCCAACATCAAGGTGAGGTACAGACAATCTGCACGGGTTTTACAAGAACATAGGGTAGAAACTGTAGTATCTCAGATTCACACTGCAAGAAAGTAAGACATATAGACAACATGAAAAAACAAGGGAGGAAAGTGCCCCCAAACAAACCAGGATACTATAATAATAGAACCCATGGACAGTGAAATTGTCAGAAGGCTCATAATTAAAATGAGCTGTGAATTAAAGAATGACCTAAATGAACAAATATAAGCAAAAAATTGATCACTCCAACAGATAAAAGAGCAAATACAGGTGGCAAAAGATTACTTCAAGAAAGAGATAGAGACTCTGAAAAAAAAAATAACAGAAATCCTTGAAATGAAGGATACAATAAATCAAATAAAAACTCATTAGAAAGCATAACCAACAGACTAGATCACTTGGAAGAAAGAACGTCAGATAATGAAGACAAAGTTTACAATCTGGAAAATAAAATTGATCACACAGTGAAGATAGTAAGAAACCATAAACAGAACATCCAAGAATTATGGGACAGCATCAAAGACCAAAGCTAAGAGGACTAGAGGAAGGCACAGAGTTTCAAACCAAAGGAATGCACGATCTCTTCAATAAAATAATATCAGAAAATTTCCCAAGCATGAAGAATGAATCAGAAAACCAAATATAAGAGACTTTCAGGACACCAAATGTACAAAATTACAACAGATCTGCACCAAGGCACATTATAGTGAAAATGCCTAGCATACAGAATAAGGATAGAATCTAAAAGCTGCAAGAAAGAGGAATCAGATCACATATAAGGGGACACCAATTCATATCTCAGCAGATTTTTCAACCCAGACCCTCAAAGCCAGGAGATCAAGGAACAACATATAACAAGCTCTGAAAGAAAATGGATGCCATCCAAGAATCTTATATCCAGCAAAATTAAGCTTTAAACTTGGTGATGAAATAAAAACTTTCCATGATAAACAAAAATTAAAAGAATTTACAACTAGAAAGCCTGCCCTACAGTACATCCTCAGCAAAATATTCCACAAAGAGGAAATGAAAAACAATGATGAAAATCAGCAGAGGGAGGTATTACACTAAAGGAAAAACTAATCAGAGGAGAAACCAAGTCAAGTTAAATACCAAAAATAAACAAAAATGGCTGAGAATACAAATCATGTCTCAATAATGGTCCTGAATGTTAATGGCCTAAACTCACCAATCAAAAGACATAGACTAACAGGTTGGATCAAAAAAACAAGACCCAACAATGTGCTGCCTCCAAGAGACTCATCACATAGAAAAAGACATTCACAGACTGAAGGTGAAGGGTTGGGAAAAATCATACCACTCACATGAACTGCGGAAGCAAGCAGGGGTTTCCATCCTCATATCAAATAAAGTAGACTTCAAGCTAATCAAAAGGGGTAAAGAATGACACTATGTACTGCTCAAGGGAAGCATACACCAACAAGACATAAGAATTATAAATATATATCCCCCAAAGATAAGAACCATATGATCATCTCAATAGATGGAAAAAAAACATTCAACAAAATATAGCACCACTTCATGTTCAAAACACTAGAAAAACTAGGGATAACAGGAACATATCTCAACATCATAAAAGCTATCTATGCTGAGCCCCAGGCCAACGTCATTTTAAATGGAGAAAAATTGAAAGCATTCTCTCTAAAAACTGAACAAGCCAGGGATGCTCTCTTTCTTTCCATATGCAACAAAATGAAAAGTAAACCCCTATCTCTCAACATGCACAAAACTCAATGCAAAATGGATCAAGGACCTAGGAATTAAACCAGAGACACTTCATCTATTGGAAGAAAATGTAGGCCCAAATCTCCATCATGTCAGATTAGGCCTCAATTTCCTTAATAAGACTTCTATAGCACAAGAATTAATATCAAGAATAAATAAATGGGATGGATTCAAACTAAAATGCTGCTTCTCAGCAAAAGAAACAATCTGTGAGGTGAATAGAGAGCCTACTAATTGGGAACAAATTCTTACCACGCGCACGTCAGATAGAGCACTAATCTCTACAATATATAAAGAACTCAAAAATCTTAGCACCAAAAAACAAATAACCCAATTAATAAATGGGCCAAGGAACTGAACAGACACTTCTCAGAAGATATACAATCAGCCAACAAATATATGAAAAAATGTTCAACATCTCTAGCAATTAGAGAAATGAAAATCAAAACTACTCTAAGATTTTACCTCACTCCAGTCAGAATGGCAGCTCTTAAGAATCCAAACAACAATAAGTATTGGCGAGGATGTGGGGAAAAAAGCACACTGCTGGTGGGACTGCAAATTGGTGCAGCCTATCTAGAAAACAGTATGGAGAATCCTTGGAACACTGGGAATGGAACCACCATTTGACCCAGCTATCCCTCTCCTTGGTCTATACCCAAAGGACTTAAAAACAGCATACTATAGGGACACAGCCACATCAACGTTTATAGCAGCACAATTCATAACAGCTAAACTCTGGAGTCAATCCAGATGCCCTTCAATAGATGAATGGATAAAAAAAATGTGGCATATATACGCAAGGGAATATTATTCATCAATAAAAGAGAATAAAATAACAGCATTTGCAGGTAAATGGATGTAACTGGAGAATATAATGCTAAGTGAAATTAGCCAATTCCCCAAAAAACAAATGCCGAATGATTTCTCTGATTTAAGGATGCTGATTCATAATGTGGTGGGGTGGGGGTGGGGGAATAGAAGGATTAAATAAACTCTAGATAGGGCAAAGGAGAAAAGGGGAGGGAGAGGAAGGGAAGGGGCACGGAGGTAGGAAAGAAGCTCGAATGTACCTTAAGTACATGTATGAAGACACGAAGGACGTGACTCTACTTTGTGTACAATAAGAGACATGAAAATTGTGCTCTATACATGTAATATGAATTGTAATGCATTCTGCTGTCATATGTAACAAATTAAAAATTTAAAAAATAAATAAAAGAAAGGATTAATATTTCAAATCAAAGTCCCCAAATAAAAATTACCATTAGCATTTAGCAATAAAATTCATTATAATAAAGTTGACTTGCTTATATTTTGGTGCTGGGGATAGAACCCAGGGTCTTGCGCATACTAAGCATGTGCTCTACTACTGAGCTAAACCCCCAAAAGTTTATTATTAAAAAGAAGTAGGATGAAAGTACATGGTAATGAGCTACTTCTCCTTCACACCTTCAGGGAATTTCAACTTTGCCCTAGGAGAGAGTGTGTGTGTGTGTGTGTGAGGGAGAGAGAGAGAGACAGAGAAAGAGAGAGACAGAGACAGAGAGAGAAAGAGAGACAGACAGACATAGACACACAGACAAAGAGAAGGGGTCACTTACCTCTGTGTCTTGAAACCTGTCTTCATAATCCAGTCTGTCCTTCTCTACAGCTGACAGTTTTAACTTCAAGTTGGATATTTCAGCGATTAGATCCAACTTCTGAGTTTCTAAGGATGTCCTACTCAGAAGCTCCTATTAGAATATAAGAAACACATTCAGAAGTTATTTTATTATAAATGTCCACATGTAAATTTGGGACATTTCTGATTGCAAAGCAGCGAAGATCTGAAGTAAGAGGGTGCCTTGAAGAATAATTACTAGACATACGTACTTTTAGATTATTTACTATTCTCTGAAGAGAACACATATCAGTTTATTAAAGCAGATACACACACACACTCACACACACACCCAGGCTGGCCTACAGAACTCAGCCTCTGCAGTACCTGAGATTACAGGAGTGCACCCCTGCACTCAGTTGTTGTCTATTCTTTTTTTGCCTTGGTACAAGGGATTGAACCCATGCTAAGCCTGTACTCTACTACTGGGTTACACCCCCAGATCCTTTACATATTCCTAAGCCTGATGATGATGATGATGATGATGATGACGACGACGACGACGACACGTCTGCTATGTACCAGGTACTGATGTGACATATATTAAGTGATTCCATCGCCTCAAAAGTCTTGTGAGGTAGAAACTCTTATCCTCATTCATCAGAAGAGGAAACTGAAGAACAGAGAGGTTAAGAACTTGTCAAAGTTCCATGGCAAGGAAATGACAGAGCAGGAATTCAAACTAAGCTGTTTTGCAATAGCGATTTTATTTTGTCCACAACCTATAGGGCCTCTCATATATGAGCACTGTGTGTACAAGTTTTTTCCCAATAACATAGGCCATGTATAGTGATTATCTTTTCCTTAATCATAAAATATGTCCATGATTGAGTTAGGGAATTGTGTGAATGCAAAAAGAAGAAAATAACCTACAATTCCATTAATATTTTGATTCTAATTAAACACTTTTTGTCTGTGTAGTTTGGGACCCTCTTACTCTAGTTTTTAGCTTAAGATGTGCCAGTCAGAGTGAGTCTGGAAATTTGCTGCTCCATCAGAGTAAAGACAGACACATCTCACCACCACCTCTACCCTCATCATATTTTACACATACCTGCTGCAGCATTTCTTCTGTGGCATTCAGTTTCTCTCTGTGCTCTTCAAGACAAAACTCCAAATCTCGAATCTTCTCTCCCTGAGCCTCCACCTGGTCTGTTAACACACTGACCTATATTTAGAGTAAAATACTGCAATGAGTGAGAGAGAATTTAGGTTCCAATAGGTGTGACGGTACACACAATCCCAGCAACTTAGGAGGCTAAGGCAGGAGGAGTACAAGTTGAAGGTCAGCCTGGAAAACCTAGCCAGATCCTGTCTTAAAATTAAAAAAAAAAAATGGTATGGGATGTAGCTCAATGGTAGAATGCTTGCTTAGTATGTTTGAGGCCCTAGGTTTGTTCCTAGGACCACACCACTGCCCCCCAAAAAAAGGAAGGAAAGAAAAAAGAAAAACAGAATTTGGATTCTATTGGCATAGTTTATTTCTCTAAGTGAACACAAACTAGAATAATCTCACTACTCATGGTGGTAAAGAAAAACAATCTGAGGGGCTGGGGTTGTGGGTCAGCGGTAGAGCACTTGCCTAGCTTGTGAGATGTCCTGGGTTTGATCCTCAGCACTATATAAAAATAAATAAATAAAGGTATTGTGTCCAACTACAACTAAAAAATAAATATTAAAAAAAAGAAAAAGAAAAGCAAAACAATCTGAGAAGACTACAGAGGTCTTTTATAGTACTATTTACATGTTGCTTCTGGATCTAAGAATTCCTGTTCAGTTTATGAGAAAATTAGTGCTGACTGGGGATGTGCAATGCTTTATCGATTTCAATCATTGATGAAAAAATTTATGAACACAATTTCTGTTTGGGGGGATGTAGGAGATAGTATTAGAATGGAAGAGAGGAAATTAAGTTAATATTTGAAGCAGATATTGTCAATGAGTATTCAAATATGATGCTTGAAGAATAAGGAAAAGAATCCAGGGAATTTAAATTCCACAATATCTTTCAAGATCACACTGACTGCAAATGTATTCAAAGCCAAGATGCAGGGCTAGGGGTGTAGCTCAATGCTAGAGTATGTGCTTAGCATGCATAAGCCCTGGTTCAAGTCCAAGTATTAAAAAACAAACAAACAACAACAACAAAAAAACACCCAGGGTACAATGAAACATATTCAAAGATCCACAAGAAACTGTAGGCTTACTCCTTCATCCTTAGTACTTATTGAGATCTACATGTTTTTCCTCACTGATCATCAGCCTAATAAATATAATAATATAATAAATATTCATTTAGTCAAAATACCAAAGTAAAAATTACTTGTCCAAACACTATGAGGAAGTAAGTAAATTTAGTCTACAAGCAGGATTCCACTCACTGTTGTGTTCTGTTCTGTTTGACCCATGGTATCATTTTATAAATAGAAAAATTATATATTCATATTCAGAAATTATAACATTGACATTTTTATACTACAGTTATATATTTGAATTTCTGTTACATATTAAAACATCAGATCAAATGATGGATGATATTAGAAAGTCTTATCAGATGATAGTGAGCTTGTATTCAGACTGGCCCTGAAGGGCTGAGGCTAAGAACTGCTCCCTCTAGGCTGGATACACACTCCACCACCATCCTCACTACTTCCTAGTGTGTACAGATGGTCTACTGCACTTTTATTTAGCAACCTTGTTTTTGTAAGTATCTGAACTGACCATCTCAATTTAAAATCATCTTGTAAGTACAGGCTTCCCTTGGTATCTGTGTGGGATTTGTTCCAGCATCCCTGCAAATACCAAATCTGTAGAAGCTCAAATCCTTATATAAAACAGCATGGTATTAAATATGGTCTATGAACATCCTCCCATATGCTTTAAATCACCTCTAATTACCTAACACAATGTAAATGCTATGTAAACAGTTGTCATATATATTGTTTAGGAAATAATGACAAGAAAAAAAAAAGTCTGTACATGTTTAGAACAGCTTCAATTTTTCCAAATATTTTTGATCCAAAGTTTGGAGGGCCAACTGTACATCATGAGAAAAGTGACATTTAAAATTACTTGCCTGAAGAACAAGGGATTCTTTATCATTTTCTAAGCGAGCTAGCCTTTCTTGATATACATCTCCATTCCCAGGTAAGTGTCCATTTGTCTGAAAAAGGAAATAATAATGTTAAGACTGACTCTCTATTTTAGATTGATGTTGTGAGTAAACAAAAATTGTATATTTTAGTCCAAGGAAGTGGAATTACATTCAGCACAAATGTCACTGCCATTAATGGAATATATGAGAATTCATTTACTAATATACATAAGAAAGGCACATTGGACATTTGGATATGACTTTATCAACCTAAACAACTTCTTAACAATCAGAAAATAATGACTCTCAGGAACAGCATTACTTATACTCTTCAGTGACAACTGACACACTCTCAGAATCATACAAGGTCTTGAGAGTATATGGTGGGGTCTGATATCACTGTTTTCCCTGAACCCTCAGTATCACTAATTCTGGGTGTAGAGAGAGGTTCAGATCTTTGACACTCTTCTATTCCCACTATATCCATCCCCAGGCTCCACATCCAGGACAGCAGATGCCTGCCTTTAAGTAGGAGAGAACAGGGGCAACTTAAACCATGGACTTCTTCCTGTTCCCTCAGGTCTTCTAATCTCAGAACAAACGTTCCCTACTTCTTTGAAGCCTTGAGTCCTGGAAGCCTTTCCTTCTTCTCCCAAAATCTTAACCATTCAGTGAACACTCATAGCACTGACTCTGCTTATCAGTGTCTTACCACTTTCTCTCTTCACCTCGTTAACTTCTTGTGAGTTTGTTTGTTCATGTAATGCCATGTTCAGCTCCTGGGAAAAGCCCCTAAACTGGTATCCTCTTATAACTTCCATAGCATCTGGCTTAGTGCTCTGCACATACTGACACTCAAATCTTTCTTTTCTCTCCTGCCTACTTTTTTTTTTTTTAAAGTCAGATTTGGGTATGTTTATACCACATGCATGGTACAAATGCCAAAAGAGGTATAGATTAAGAAGGAAGTATAGATTCCTTTTCTCAGCTATCTCACTGGCAAGTCACTTGAAAAAGCTCACAAAGAGCAGAAGTGTAAAAATACCACTTGAACATATAATATGTGATTTGTGTCTTGTAATCTCATTTAACTAGTTCACAATCATCTAATACGCAATCCTCACAGAATTTCTAGATTCTTTATTCAAATACAACAGAAATAAAAGCTAGCTGGAGTCCAGAATGGATAGATGGGGACATCCAGAGTTCAACTGAAAAAGCAAGTAACACCTTTAGAACCATAGGAAAAATACAAACTGTATATAAGATGTTACATCTGATATGATGTCTATTATTTTTCCAATTAACTGGTGCCATTGTTCTACCTTTCCAATTAATGCACTTTCCAGTATTATTTCTGGGAATAACAAAAGTCATTTGTTGGGAAGGAAAAATCAGACAAAAATGAGGCTTCAACAACAACAAAAAACCCAAATTTCAGAATGTTTTTTCTACAAACTTAGGCATGCTGGATCATATTTCCCAAGAGGCCAAAGAAAAATCAGAAGCTAATTTAGTAAGTGTGCAATGTACATTTAGGGTAGATAAAAAAAATTAAGATCATCTATTTGACCACATACCTATACAATTACCACTACAAAACTCTGTTCATGTTGTTAACTCAAGTGCCCAGAATTAAATTACAAGAGTCTGAAGGAGTGGTCTGAATGACTTCCATCCCTGTAGACTGCTGCAAATGAAATTCACATAACTTCTTAAGGACAGTTTTTTGGAAAACAGCCAGGAGGCATAATGCATGTTCTCAATTGAAAAAATGCTGAGACATGCCCAGTATAACTTTAAATCCCTCATTTTGATTACGAATACTAACAGGCATCTGATTTTAAAATGCCACACAAGCAAATTTTTATAAACATACTTCTCATCAGGAAGAAAAAAAATGCTTTCTGTTCATTGAAGACAAGAACTAAAACTTTTCTTTTTCCTTTTTTTAAGTGATGAGATTTTGCCATGTTGCCCAGGCTGAATACTGGGCTCAAGTGACCCTCCTGTGTCAGTATCCCAAATAGCTAAGGCCAAGTAGCTGGGTAGTACATACCAGGGCACTCCACCAAAGTATATTCTTATTCTTTAGTGTGCTGGGGGTTGAACTCAGGGCCTCACGCATGTATGCATACACTCTACCAGTGACCTATCCCCCTAACTCCTTTTTTTCTGATTGAAAGAAATGTAGCCAGATTAGCAGAGTTTCCTTTCAAACTATTAAGTATGACAGAGAAATGGATGTTCCAAAATCAGTTCATCAAAATAAAACAAATGATGGAAACTGATTCAAAATGAGCAAAATTATGTTTCTCAATATACTCACACTTATAAACACTTGCTGTACTCAAGATTAGTTTAAAATTTTTAACACATTTTTTAAAGCAAAATTTAAGAGTCACTATTGGAATAGTTACATACTTGTGTTAACTTATTCATGCAGGAAAAGATCTGTTCTACCTACTAATACCTCTGCCATAAGACTGTGTTGGAGGTATATCTGTTAGGTTAATACCTTGTCACCTCCATTCTTCCTTCAACTCCTGTGCTCCACTATCAGATCACTCAAAACCTTCCCAAATATGGCATGCTTTTTCACATACTAATTCCTTCTACATGAAATGTCTTTCTTTTCTTTTCCTATTTTTTTCTGAGGCTTTAGGGTCCATTTCCACTGGGAGGTGGTAGGTGAGGTCTTCCTTGAAATAATGGTTCACTTCTGTGCAAGTTACAGCATCAAATGCACCTTCATTACAGCAGGCATCACATGAAATGGACTAAGTTTACACTTGGCTATGGATGTGTCCCTTTCTCAGCAGATTCTACATTTTTTATGAGTAGATTCATCTTGTACCTTACACCATAGGTATTAACTAAATAATTGCTGAATGAAGGAACAATGATATGTGTTTGACAAACACTGGTTGAATGTAAGATGAATGCATGTTCATTTTTAACCTGGCCTTCTTGCTTCTTGGTAAGACTTTTATTCACGTGTCCCTCCAACCATGTATTACTCCATGGCTAGCCTCTGGATGAGCTCCTTTCTCCTTGTGCCTGTGATCCTTCACCACTATGCTTAGGAGGTGGTCTTGGAGCCTTTTGGATGGACAAGTTGGCACCTTTCTTACACAGTTTTTTAGTACACAATTCACTACATTTACTTCTCCATCTTTCCTTCCTTCCAGCCAGTGTCCGGATAACTAAAAGCTCAACATTCCCCTTCTATTTGGAACCCTGATTTCCTGTTTCCTTTAGACCATCCTGTATACTTAAGCATTGTGCAACCCCTATTGACCTACATCCATTTGAAAGTTTAAGTCAAACTGGAATCAATGAGGACTTCAAAGTACAACATCCAAATAATGGTGTATATGGAGGATCAAGTGGAAATTCAGCTCTGAAACAGTAGTGAGACTTTAGGAAATGTATGGTGTTCATCAGATTATCCTGGCATGGGGGAAAGAAAAACATCTAAAAAGCTATAATCTTCATAGAATTATTGAATCGAGAACTAGCCAGTAATCTCACCTGGGAATGTGAATTTTCTGAACACACATGGCAAGTGCTATACATAACATTAGAGTACCACCTACCTTACTCTTCACCATCTAAGTGAAATCTTTCTTATAAATTTTCCTTGAATTAGTAAGTATTAAAAATGAAAAATCAAATGTAATAACTTTTAGTATTTTCCCTTTGTACTTGTTTAAAACTTTATTAGAAAATTTCAAATACATGTAAAATTAGACTATCTTAAAACCCCATGCACACACAACTTAATTTCCATAGTTATTCATTCATGTAAGTGGGAGCCTTTGCCTGTTATTTCCACTTAGAGTATTGTTTTCCCTTGATTTTCTGGGTTCTATTGGTTTGCATTAGACTACAGTTTTCTTCCTTGTTTCACCATCTTCATTTTGCTTTTTTCTTTCTTCCTGGGCTCTATTCTCCTATCTAAATCCAAAATCAACATACAAGGCAGTGATTTGCCACAATGGTAGTTATTTAGAAAACAGCAACATAATTTGAATGCAATAGACCCAAATCAGGGTGCTATCTAAATGAAAATGGGGGGAAAAACCCCAGTCCTTTTATAATGACACTAAATGTGAATAAATAGTTAGACTAGTATTACTACATATACATAAATACACATATCCTATCCAGTGTCCTTATTGTTAAAAGCAGTTTTAAAAACTGTTTCACAGTCTTGACACACAATTTTATTTTTAAAAGTTCAGCATTGAGGGGGGAAACATGAGGCTCAATCCACTGTCTCATTTTTTTAAATTTTTTATTGTTGGTTGTTCAAAAACATTACATAGTTCTTGATATATCATATTTCACACTTTGATTCAAGTGGGTTATGAACTCCCATTTTTACCCCATATACAGATTGCAGAATCACATCAGTTACACATCCATTGATTTACATATTGCCACACTAGTGTCTGTTGTGTTCTGCTGCCTTTCCTATCCTCTACTATCCCCCCTCCCCTCCCCTCCCCTCCCCTCCCCTCTTCTCTCTCTGCCCCCTCTACTGTCATTCATTTGTCCCCCTTGTATTATTTTTCCCTTTCCCCTCACTTCCTCTTGTATGTACTTTTGTATAACCCTGAGGGTCTCCTTCCATTTCCATGCAATTTCCCTTCACTCTCCCTTTCCCTCCCACCTCTCATCCCTGTTTAATGTTAATCTTCTTCTCATGCTCTTCTACCCTACTCTGTTCTTAGTTACTCTCCTTATATCAAAGAAGACATTTGGCATTTGTTTTTTAGGGATTGGCTAGCTTCACTTAGCATAATCTGCTCTAATGCCATCCATTTCCCTGCAAATTCTATGATTTTGTCATTTTTTAATGCAGAGTAATACTCCATTGTGTATAAATGCCACATTTTTTTAATCCATTCGTCAATTGAAGGGCATCTAGGTTGGTTCCACAGTCTTGCTATTGTGAATTGTAATGCTATGAACATCGATGTAGCATGCTCTTTTTAGGTCTTTAGGGAATAGACCGAGAAGGGGAATAGCTGGGTCAAATGGTGGTTCCATTCCCAGCTTTC